ATACTTGCTATTTAAGTATATTTTTTATATAATTATATCTTTTTTTAAAAAAGATATAAGCTATATAATATCTAAGTACTTTTATAAAAAAAAACCTTATCTCCTTATCTAAGCCTTATCTTATTTAAGTTTTTTCTACCTTAAGTTTTTTATCCTTAAAGTATTTATAGCTTTTTAGTAAAATTAAATATAAATAAAATAAAAATATACTTAAAAAGCTTAAATTAAATAAAACTTAATTATAATTCTTTTTTTTAAAATAATAAGATTTAAATTAAACTTTGTATTTGTATTTATATTTTGTATTTAAAATACAAAATACAAATTTAAAATTTAAAAAATACAGATACAAATATAAATATAAATACAAAATACAAGGCTTCCTAAAATACAAATACAAATACAAATACAATATTTAAATACAAATACAGATACATGTATTTTTGTATTTTGTATTTTAAAATACAAAATACATAAATATTGTCACAACTTTAATTATAAGAATGCCATTAATTTAATTACTAGCTTATGCTTAAATAATCATTTTTCGTTAGCTTATTTTAGCTAGTATATTAAATTATAAGGGCTAAAAGCGTGTTAATTATAAAAAATAAGTTAAGCCTTTAATATATTTAAAAGGCGCTAAAGTATAATTAAATAATTAAGCAAAGGGTAATATTTAATTTATAATTAAATTAAGGTATTCTTTATTTTTTATTATATAGCTACTTTTTAAGGTTTGCTATAGGGACTTGGAAAAGAAGGATATATTATAATTTAAGCTTTGCCCATTATAATTAATTAGCAAGCTTTAGCCCTATAAGAATAAGCTTTAGCGTGGATGTAAATAAGGAGCGAATTTCTTCCTTTGTACTTTAAATATAAACCTTATTTAAGCACCTTACGGTAAACAACTTAAGGCTAGCTCATAACATTAATAAACTATATTATAATATATATAATATTTATAAAGTATTTTTAAATAATTATAATAATAAAATCTTTATTTAAATATTATAAAGTATAAATTTAAAGTTATATAAATAAAATGTTTAAAATTTATGATTATTTTTAATAAAAAATTAATGAAAAGTAATTATATTATTATTATAATAAAGTAGCTGCTTTTATATATCCCTAGTTACTCTTCTTGTATTCAACAACCCTTACAAATGGTCTGTATCGCACCTAATAGTTTGACTCTGGTCATTTCCATATGGGCCGGCGTGATAGCGATTGAGGGTGAACTTGCCGGTCAAGTTTATCTTGCCTGCTTGGCGGCGAGCGCCATCATCGAGAGTTGAGTCGTCTCACCAAGACTTGCCAGGAAAGACACGGTCCGCAGAGGACGTCGAAGCCATTCCTGCACAGTAGCTGCATTGAGCAGGTGAAAATCTTCAGCAGCTGGTGATAGGTAAGCTTCATGGACCATTCTCTATGGCCAAGCATGGACGAGACATATCCACGGGATCCTGTGGTCCATTCCTTGGACTACCGTGCGTGATTCACAGGAGACACTCCGCAGAGCGCTCCACTTGGAGTATGAGCTATCAGGCACTGAAGACCAGCCCCGAGGCCCGAAACCCGAAACATGGGCTCTTTTGGGCTGCCACGTCACAAGATATTCGTAACGACATGACTCACATGTTACAATAAACAGTCAAACGAAAGCACTCCATGATCTGTGGCTCGAAGAGATTGGTGGGCAGGAAATAGTCAGCATAGCCGGGTGGACGTGCTGCGCTTGCTGCGTATCACCCTGGTCCTCACCGCTAAAGCCATTCTATGCTTTTCTGACACCGCACGTAGAGTTCGTGTGGCCTGCAGTTTTCACTCCTGTCATTGGGGAACCAGGCGGTGTCAATGACTTGAGTTGCGAATTCAGGTAAGAGCATATGCGCCTAACCACAGTGGGATGTTGATGGTTTCAACAGTAAATTCGGGGTCCTCAGAGCTCAGCAGCTCTGGGAGACAGGGCAGGGCATCGTTGATACGAGTACAGATTACAGGCCTACAAGCAGGCAAGGCTAGCCAGGCTCCAGTCGCGTCACGCACTGTCTCAACGCTTGCTTCTGGCCCTCCAACATTTCAGTCTTGCCCACGAACGATGGAAGTGGAGATGAATCCCCAAGGCAACAGCAATGAATCAAAACGTAGTCAACTGCGCGTTTAGATAAACAGGTCCAGTCTGGGAAGCAAACCGCGAAATCAGGTATCTAGCTGCCATCGAGGGATGGCTGTTCAGGGTAATTTACGCCCATCAGTGGGCTCTAGAGCTCAAGACCCGCAGAATCAGGCAGCATGTTCCAAATCGTTCGCTCCGCTTCAGGCGGAGCTTTGAGAAGGGGAGTAACCAGTGAGGCTGCGGCAATCTGGCATCTCCATGCAGCAACTTTACCGGCTGAGGGCGTTCCTATCAGTACTTCGCAACGGTGTGAAGGGGGAAGAAATAGGTTCTGGGCCAACTGCTCTCATAGCATTCCTGGTCCTTGGAGGCTCTGAAGAGGCTTGGGCATACGAAACAGGTAGAGACTGAAAGTGTCAGGGGCTCGGAACCAGAATAGGGCTGACCTCTACAGGCGGCCCGACGGGAGACGTATGCTGTACCTAGCCTGCAATCAACGGACGACCCAGCTCCAAGGGTCCCCACTGATCGATTCCAGCCGGTGTGACAGTAAGAAGAGCCCAGGACCCCTCACCTCTGCTAAGTTGAGCGCAGGTGAAGACTGCTAGGCCCGTCTTCGGCTTATTTGATGAGCTGTTCAGACCCCCTTACCTGTGTCGGTGCCGAGTTGCTTGGACACGAGCGTGCGGAACCCTCCTCACCGGTCCTGGAATGAGTGCGCGTCCTGCAGGCTGGTGCAAGAATTGGCCTTGCTTTTCACCCCGGCACGGGAACGCTTGTGGTAAGGAGCGATGTTGGATGTGTATCGCAAGCTGCATGCCGATGCTACGAGGCGGGAGTCTTCAACTTATCTATTTGCTCTTTATGTATTGAGCCGCTTCTCATGTGACGATCCACATAATTATGCAGAGGAGATATGAGGGATCCCGTCGAACCCCTTCGGTGGTTTCGTCCCTTGGTCGTCTTCAATGTTCTGTTGGTCTCCCGGAGAATCCCGTTCAGAGAGGGTTCCTCCCTTGGAAAGGCTTGTCTCACCAAAAACAGAACGGCGCGTCTTTGCAGGAATGCCAATGATCATGTCAAAGTTTGAAAAAAGTTTGCAAGGCATCGAATCTACTCTGCGACGGGAAGACGCAAGTATTTATAACAACCTCGACGCCGCCTCCCCCCCCCCTCCCAAACTCCACCACCCCCACGGGACTCGAAAGTCCTCATGATTCCGTCATTGGCAAGTTTTCTCGATGCGTTCTGTGAGTGGACAATGCGGGAATCTTATCCCGGGGGGGGGGGGGATCTTCCATCGTGTGGGAAGGGGTATGATCCCGGATCGTCTAGCTAGGTACAGTACCTATAATTTCCCCGGGCGGTCATCCTCCCCAAGGGTCATAGCCTCGTTCACGCGCTCACGCGTCCACGGCTGCCCGCGCTCTTTTCGAGCGAAAGTACGATTTGCTGCCTCCTTCATCTTACGAGCGTCCACATCGTCTCGACCGGTTGTTCCCACTGTCTCAAGCAACTCCGAAAAGACTCCCCGCCAGAAATGCACCTCACCGACGGAAAGCTGCTCTGAGCTGTGGCGGCTGTGGTTGAGGAGATACCTAGGCACTCCGACACGTCGAGCTGAGTATATCTCTATACATCCATCAAACATGATGAAAAGTGATTGGAGTAGGAAAATTCAATCGAACAACGAAAACAACGATCTGCTGCCCACTATACAACGTTCCTCGATAACCGAACGACTCGAAGTTCCTCTGCCTGATGTCGAATATCGAGCGTGATCCCAAGCCGTGGTGCCGACTTGACTGAGAGACTGCCACTGGCCGCCCTTCCTCGTCCTTGATACCTTGCATTCGAATATCTGCCACCCACAATCCCTAAACATATGACAATGGAGGCAAGCCCATCATCTGTTCCGCTTTCTCCAAGGACGAGATATCCGGTCATCCGGTCAAATATGACAGCCTGTACCTGCCATTGGATCTGGTAATGCAGACCAGTAGCTGTGACTGGCTTTCGCCCAGAAGAAGCATGCCGTGCATGCGTGCAGCAGCCTGTGCGTGCTATCACCTGGTGGAGACGCACACCTGTATGCAGTTCTCGGATTGATGTTCCTATGTGAACTCCGTCGCAACCAACCAACCACTGCCGCTTCTGCTCGCAGCCGTCACGAGGATGGCTTGCATGATGGAGCGATGTTTGCTTGTGAGGTACACGATGTCCTATTTCGGTCGGTCGGTGGGGGTCGATTGATTAATTCTTCATCCCCTTCCCCCCCACGTTCTGCTGGCTTCGACCGGTCCATGTCCACAAACTCCACCTCTTGCTATACACCGAAGCCAAGTTGGCACCGGTCTTTCGACACCCCTGGGCATGTTCTGGTCGTGATTGGTGGTGGCCAGTCTTGTCTTGTGTGTTTCTCTGTTTTCCAAGCCATAACCCGGCGAGCCAGTCTTTCCTAGACGTCCACGTTGTGAACGCTCGGACCGGCAGATGCAAGCTGCCACTCACTCCACGCCACGGGTCTTGTTACCGGCGTCAGGTCGTGTCGGGCCGGTCCAAGGTTGGCCGTTGGTCGAAAGCCATTCCGTGGAAACCGGTCAGGTTAGGAACCGCCGTGCTGGGTCACTAGTCCGAGCCTCAGCCCGGGACTTGGACAGCCAACGCATCGCTATTGGATACTCAGCATCACCTAGTGGCCTGCTTCCTTCTCCTTGCATCAGCCCGTCGTTGTACATCGGCTCCTCTCCTGGTCTGGGTTCGGCAATCTCCACGGCGTCCCGTCGAAGGGGTCGCTCGCTCAAGGGAAAAGCCGAAGCCTTCATGTTGGATGATTCGCCGATGTTTGGGCGAATACCTAGCTGTTCTAATGAATATGGATGCATATAAGGCAGCCGAGATGATTCCCATCCGCCGATATGAGGTTCGTTTGCCGGGCCTCTGATCTCATTACGAATATATTTTGTTCTCGCTCAACTACATCTCTCATCACACCATCAGGCCATCTCTGTTTGTATCTGCACATCACATGACGAGCGACAAGTTAATAGTTATACACCTCGACAGATATCAACCACATCCGTTGGTAGTTCCAGAAGAGGACTCAAGAGAGGTTGTTTCAGCTCGGAACCTGCCAGTAGCCCGGTTGATAAGCCAGCTGTGAAGAAGCGACGTCCACAGAAGCAGTGCTACCCCGGGGGTGATATTGAAGCCTGGCAGGAGTCCTCGGATGTTTCTCAGCCCGAAGAAGCCCTCCGCGGAACTAGAGTGGAAGCGACGGCCATAGCTGAATACCACCAGCCCGCACAGCAACTGCAATCCTGCATTTCTCTTACGCCAGATAGAGGCCTGTCAACCACACAAGATATACCTGGATCTGTCATTACTCCCGTCTACAGCGACCGACTCTCATGTGAAGCCACCTACCTCGAGCAGTGGTCACATGAGCCAGCGATCTTCTTGCAGCCTTCACCTACCGCTACGGATCTCAGCCTATCAACTTATGATCCTACGCCATCTGTTACTTTCTCAAGTACTGCCTACGAGAAATGGGCCGGAATCTGTTCTGACACTTTGTTATCACCGGAAACGTGGGTGAACAGTAACCCCGAGCCCCTGCTGGAGACACAAGCTTTCACGTGCCCGCCGAAACAGTTAGAAGGCGGGGACGACTTGTACAACTACTTGCTCAACCAAACGTACCAAGAACCAACATCCTATCTTGCCGGACTCTTCAACCCAGACTTTTGCTACTATCCCTGGACTGCATCGAACGAGCTCGCCATGGGCGGTGGAGAGCATTTCCCAACGTCCCACCAGGCTCAGACTGCCTTTGCTGGCCCTGCACTTCTATCCAGACCGGAAGGAGAATGCGAGCAGCTTCCACCAGAAGGTCATCATGAGTCCTGGCCCCCTCAGCAGCTGGGGCTTACTCTCATGCCGAACTGCTCAGACCGGACTGATACCGAAATACCGGCGCAGCCCTTCCTGCAACAAGCCTTGAACAGCTGCACCTCACCCATCCGGCCTCGCGGGAAGGGCGAACTATGCCTCGATGAAGCCCCCTATGAGGGCCAGATGAGCCATAGAGACCTTTTGGTGTTGCCCAGCTCACAGCAAAGTTCACAAGACCCACAACACACGGTTGCCGGTGCGGGTGAAGAAGAAATTCTCACGGTCTCCGAGGACAGCCAGGAGGACACCGGGGCGGAATGCACCTGCGAGACTTCCAACCCTAACCCTCCCTGTTCGTCCTGTATCAACAGCCCTCGATCGTGGGTCATGGTCACATACAAGCTGAAGCCTCCTGGGCAGCGCGAGAAGAAGCCACCGAGACCCAGGAAACGTCTGGAGGAGGACGCCCGCCGACAAACAAGTCAAACACGCGATATAGGGGCTTGTATCAGGTGCAAAATCCAACGCGTTCGGGTATGAAGTACAGGCCCCATATGTGCTCGGGGGGGACAGATGCTGACCGAGACCTAGTGTATCCCCAATAAGGAGGACCCGGCTGGGCCTTGTGAAGCTTGCTCAAGAGTCGCCTTGAACTACTCAAAGAAGGTCCTCCACCACATCGGCTGCCATCGATACAAACTCCAGGAGGTCGTCCGTAAGCACCTCTATATCTCCCTTCATGGTTCCCTGTCTGTCATGTTTTGCTTCCAGAATGCATTACTTTGGGAACCGTCGCAGGTGACTAACGCGTACCAGTCTTCCGCACCTCGGGATCGAGGGTTACCGATCGGTGGCACAGTGCACAGGTCCGGAATGTAATGACGTACGGCAAGACCCTCTCTGTGCAGATGATGCAGGACTTTGTGGATATCCCCTTCGAGTACGAAGTACGGAAGGTGGCAAAGACCGGCCGAGGCAGCCACCACGACAAGACTATGCGCGAGTGGTACGACGGGACAGACGTTCGACGAGAGCCTGTTCCAGACTACGCCCTGGCTGACGTCCACCAAACCATGGCTCGATATAAGGACTACATCCGCATCAGCGTCCTCGGAGACACTGAAAGGGGCTGTCAGCCAGTCATTACGAAGCTCGTCGAAGATTATCAGAAGACAGGCCAAGGCATTGTCGGAGAGGTCTTCAAGCAGGCTTGGGCCTATTTCTGCGGCCTTCCGAGCGCGAATGAAACACTGGACTTCTTCTATCAGCCTCCGGCGAAGAAGACCGAGGAACCAAGGCCAGTATCTGAGAAGGGATTTCTCTTGGGCTTCTTCGAGTTACGCTTTGCATTGAGGCATGCCACTGGCTGGTCTTGGATACTGGAAGGAGCTATCCCAGGCGCAGAACCGATCAAAGACTTCCTGCCGCTCCGGAACCGTATTGGCACGCCGAGACTGGCGGTAGGGCAGATAGACTGCATTCGAATTGCTTGCGTCCTGAAGCCTCTTACCAAGTCGCTTCTCAAGGTACTCATGGCTTGGATTGCTGACCGACAATATGACCGCTGGATGAGCATCTTCTTTGCCACCTTCATTTTGCTCAGCGAATTGTCCAAAGCAACAGAGGATGCATATCGCCACGGATGGTATGACAAGGACCTCAAGCGCAATGTGTGTCCCTGCTCCCCACCTTACGGGCTTGTTGACTTCCACACCTTATTGACCTTTACTAGGGACCGAAGAATGCCCACATCATCAGAGACATCCATGAGAGCGCTAACATCATTCTGGCGCATTGGCACTACTTCAACTGCAGCACTGACCCTGGGAAATTCAAGTCTGAGAAGCAAAGAAATACTAGGCACAAGACGCCTCTACGGGCACTGACACCAGAGCAACTCGCCATGGTTCAGGAGCTTTGGAATGGGATTCAGCAGTGGAGGGATAGGTCACATGGTATGTGCTTCTTTCCCTGAGCTCGGTCTTCCCCTGTGGTAATTAAAGCTGCTGACTTGCGCTCAAAGACGACGAGCTGTACGACAATAAGAAAACCGAAGGATGGTGGACAAAATGGTGCCACAGCATGTCAGTACTACAGGTCTTTACAGTTCCCCTTCTCCCGTTCTTTGAATTCTTCCAGAATGCATTGCTCTGGGCTTCGTAGCAGATGACTGACAAACACAAGGTACTTTGCTGACCAGATGGTTGACACGAGCTGGAAGCCGCGCCAAGTATTTTCCTGACGGATGGTTCTTCGATATCGACCTGGCTGGACTTGTAGTACGTGCTGGAAGACTGTGTGATAGCGTGCGCGTGTTTTCTTGTTTGGTCCCTTAGTCAGTTTCTTGCTGCGTTGGTGGTTTGTGCATTGATCACAGTTTATGCAACGGGGAAAACAAACCGCATGTTCATGTTGATCCGAAGGAAGTGGGAGGCAAGGAGGCGTTTGTTACGAAGTTCACGAAGTAATGACTCTCGGGAAAAATCACCGAGGACTGAGTCATGAAAGGCACAAGCAGCTGAGTGCCGGGCTAGAGCCCCTGTCTGTCTATTGTGGCATCTTCCTCTCGGGCGCCGTGGCGGTCTCGACAACAAAGATATGGTGGATTGACCACTACGAGAAGGAGGGCAAAATGGTGGAGCTCAAGTGTACACTGACTAGCTGGAAAGACTCAAGCACTTAGCACAATACAAGTGGTAAAGCTAAAGGAAAGCAAGTGGGTTATGTCGGTCGATTGCGGGTATGAAAATTGCCAGCATGCGAATCCTTCTACGCCGGGTCGGACCGTCTCAACCTCTACACGCGTGTGGGACCAACTCTTTCTGCTCACACCACGCTGGGACAAGCACTAAGCCATGAAACTATTTGAGGACGAGGATCATCAGAACGACAAATCACAGCCTTCACCACAGCAACTGAAATAAGGGATTGGCTCAACCAGTGGTTTTGAGTGTCCACGCCTAGCACCTCAGGGTGGGTAGAGTTCCTGCTCAAGCAGATCCACGTCGTTTCACAAGACTCCAGGCGCAGAAGAGTGGAGATCTATGGAAGAACCTATTGGGTGGATTTTGCTCCATACGACACTATCAAAAAAGTCTGATAGACTATGTATGTGGCTATATTTCGTGTGCGGTATAGGTTGATGGATACGCAGGGTACTTGCAGCACTCCATTTTTATGAGGCCTTGGACCAATCCGGCGCTGAGGCCTTCTAATGAAATTACTCAACACTGAAGAATGAATCAATCATTGTTATACCCAAAATACAAGAACTTTTTGTGTGTGGGTATCATACATGAGACATCCACAACAGCTAGTATCTATCCTCCAGTGCACCCACAATCAGGCTGGGAGGCTCAATCACAATTTTCGTCCTGGATCCATATTGAAACACTTTAGTTTCCATGGGCGCAAACTGCGACAGGATCGTGCTATAGCACACAGGTTCCAGGGAGGTGAAGATGCTTGCGCATGCAGACAAACTACCCCTAGCACGGCCACGCCGGCCCTCGCGCCTTGGCCCCATGATGAGGCTCAAAAAAGCATGGCTACTTGTTTCGAGGCGGGAAAGAATTCTAGCAACGTAAAACAAGCATCTCGGTACTGGATGATAACTAAACAACTCGTAGCTGATACGAAACCATTGCGCTGGCAGGCAGTCGTCACAGTGCCCCCATTCGCAAGGACCATGGGTTATAATCACGCTTCTCCAAGGATATATATTACACAGTATAAATGCCTCCAATGATCCGACATTTGTCCTACTCAATATGTTACAATCCCCACATTTCCAGATCCGTATTTCCAGGTCAGCTCCCAGACCAGTGGGCAGCCCAAAATATATGCCGAACGAATTGAATGGCCAATAAGAGCCCGCGAAGTAAAGAGATGCCACGAAAGAAACAGTTCATACCAAGGACCCTACGGTCTAGGTGCTCAGACCGCAAGCCCAGCCCCCGACTGCAGGGTGATGCCCGCTACCACGGCTGATGAGCCCACGTCATGTCACGCCATGCAAAGCCAAAACCGTCACAGTAGCCGGCTCATGAACCAAATAATATACGGGTGATCATCACCTCACCGGCACCACGTTGGCCAAGACGTTTTCACGCCAGGACCACAGCGCCGCCCAGGTGGCCCCGGGCCCAACAGTAAGCTGGCCAGCGGCGACGCCCAAGACGGCGACGGCGGCGCGGCGGGTGGTCACGTAGCCCATCTGGCGCAGCTTCCAGACGGAGAAGAGCTCGTAGACGATCAGCGCGGTGGCCGAGACGACCATGTCGTACTGCAGGAAGGCCAGCATCGCGGCGACGGGGTCGGTGATGCCCCAGTCCGCGGCGAAGGGATCCTGCAGGCCGAAGAAGAGCTCCGAGATGGTGAGATCCGGGTGGTGGTAGGTGTAGATGAATGTGGAGATGTGGGCGGCCGCCTGCAGCCAGAACAGCACTGAGTAGGCGGCCTGGAGGATCGGGAGGTCCGGGTTCTTGTAGCGCTCCAGGGTCTGCTCGATCGGCACGTTGGGGTCCTCCATGTGCTGTTTCTCCCGAGCGGCCCTGCTCTTTCGTGAATCTTTGCCTTCCTTTGAATTCTCGCTCACCTTTGCAGCTTCGATGGCCTTGTCACTGTTCTCCTTCTTCTTCTGCGCCCCAAGGCGGTCCCACCAGCCAACCACCCTAGAAAACAACGAGACGAGAACGGCGACAAACGCGGGAGACGGCTGCCAGACTGCGACGTAGGTCTGTAGGACGTGGACGTTGGGCGTGGGTAGGATCATCAAGGTTGTCGGAATGATGTATCCGAGCACCAGCGCGGGAATCAGAGACTTGGCGACTGCCGGGCGCACGAACCGCCCGGGCGACAGATCAAAGCCCTCAAAGATGGCGAAGATGACATACAGAGGTGCCATGCGGAAGATGCCCTGCAACTGCATAAGGAACAGAGGGATGATGGGCAGCGTGATGAGGGTGCCCTTGTTGCCAGCGCGGTAGGACTCGATGATCCATATGAGGATATAAGACGTCAGCTGACCCAGGAAGAAGTTGGCCGTGTGTATCTTGGGGCCGACGTCTGGGACGCCGACCTGCAGGGAGAAGACAGAGACGAGGAAGTTGGTAAACTCGTTCAGAGCAGGTGCGCCGCTGAACCATACACGTTCCACCAGTGGTCCGTCACGGCCCCAAATCGCGGGCGGCTCGAAGGGAACACGAAGGGTGAGGGCCGATATGGTTAGGAGCAAGAGCATGGCACCAACAACCAGCAGCTTCACGAACAAGTTGGCCTTGGAGTGGATGGGTTTCGCCGGGAGCTCGTCATCGTACGGGACCGACCTCGGGCGTTTCGGGATGGGGAGCTTGTTTATCCTCACGGCAGGCCTGCAGATTGATCCCAGCCTGTCTATGCCTGGATCCAGGCCCTTGATAGAATCGAGACGCATCAGAATCGTTGACAGTAGGGGCTTCTCCTTGGCAAAGAGCGACTGCATCTGATGTGCCTCTTTCACAAACTTCTTGGCTCGCTCATGGCGGATGTCCAAGACCCGCGAGAAGACTTCTTCGATTTCCTTGTCCGTCAGGTTGTCCAGGTTGCCTCCTCGACTGTCACGCTTCTCCAACAGCACGTTGACGAGCGACGCGGGGGTCTCGATGGCATTGTTGCCTCCTTGTCCGCCGATGGGGTTCGGCTTGTGGGCGGCATCGCCGAGGATGAAGACGCGGCGAAAGAACCATTTCTCGAACACCTTCTCGTGCAAAGGGGTAAGGGTTGACGAGATGCGTTTCTCGAACACCTGGCCGAACGTAACGGTCTCGGTGATGGGTCGGTAAGCGTTCTCCTTGACGAATTGCGCCTCGTCCTCCTCGGTGTACCTCGGGATGGCCTTGCCGTACTTGGTCTCGGGCAGCTGGCTGAAGAAGAACCAGTAAAGCCTGCCCTCAGGTCCCGAGATGAGCATCTGGGAAGCACCTTCTGACTGAACCATGTACATATGTTCATAGTTCCAGTTCGGTACGTCCTTTGCGATGCCAAAGCTGCACTTGTAGTAACAGGGTACCTTGTCCAGCTCCTCTTGGTCAAGGTAGTCGGGCTGGAGCTCGCCGGCAAGGCGAAACATCTCTGCCCTGACGGTGCTGTAGATCCCATCGGCACCGACAACAATGCTGCCCTTGAAATTGTCGCCGTCCTTGGTAAGGACCTCGACACCGCCGGGGACGAGCTTGATCTGGGACACCTTCTTGTTGAGCTTGACCCTGTCCTTGTGGGCCAGGTGGTCGTAGAGGATTCTCAATAACCACTGGCGATCAAAGAAAATGCTCCGATATCCCAGCCTAAGGGCAAGGGGTTAGCAAAACAGGACACAAATACAGCAATGCAGAAAGTACAGCCGCTTACCTCTGTTCCAAGTGAGGCATGGGGTCTGTCCTTTGGGCTATTGTTCTGCCATTTTCGTCGGCGACACGCGTATGCCTGACATCGGTCTCAGGCAATGCCCTGATGGCCTCGTAGCACCCGATCTGGTCGAGGATGCGTAGCCCATTGGGGAACAAGCCGATACTTGCACCGACTTCAGGAGCGATATCTCCATGCGATTCGAGCAGGATATAGTCAATATCGAATTTCTCAAGGATGGCTGCCAACGTTAGGCCGGCAATACCGCCTCCGGCAATGATGATTTTAAAGCCCTTGCCTTGGGCCATGACAGATTAGGTTTCGGAGAAGAGGCCGTCCTTGGGACAAGACAAGAAATGTCAAAGTTAGAAAAGAGGACCACGACAGCGAAAATAGAGATAGAGTTGATGCTAAGATGCTAAGAAATCACGATAATTGACATCCTTCAGAGCGTTCTGATAAAGATAGTAAATGCATTTTGTAAGCCATGCTGCTCGACGCTGCTCAAGGTATCAATGAGGCTTCACGATGCCAACCGGGCTGCTACAGAGTCCGAATCCGATGCGGTTGCATTGCAAGAGCCTCGGCGCTGTGACAGAGGACGTGCCCCGAGCCCGAGTGGAGAGGCGGGCGGTGCAGCCGATCTAGACAGCAAAAGGTTGGAGCCCGGATCTCAGCAGATCCGGGGCGAGACGCAACTCGATCTCCGGCACTCTATCTGAAGCCCGACATACCGGATGGTGAGCTCAAGGGCAATGGCATCGGCACCGAGCCTGCTTGAGCTTGAGGAATGGCACGACATGGCATTACATGGCACAACGGAGCCGCACACATGAACATGACGACGCTGCATGTCGTCACCATGAAGGACCGCCACGAAGGTCATGGAAGCTCGTGTCATCGACGACAAAGTTGTCTTGGTTTACCGGGACCGGGCCGCCCACACGCCCGGCAGTTGAGGGTGACGGGCAGTGAGTGGTGGGGCATTCTGAAATGTTCGCACCCAGTAGCACGCAGTCCTGCGTAAACAACCCTCGCAGGGATCTCGAGGGAAGGTTAGCGCAGGGACACTTCCGTGCGTATATCAGTATGGACACCCCCATCTCCTGTTCACTCACAAAGGTGTATTTCAGGACACATATGTACGGAGTATGAGATTGTCGCGCCAAAGACTGTCGCGCAACAAGGGCGTAGTGGTCAAATCTGTCTGGCTGTCGAAACGCGACATTTGCGATCCCTGCGAGCTGTGCTGTGCCCAGACTATCCCTATCAACCAGCCCTGCCTGCCAAGCGTGCCTACCACCTGCCTGGGCGGACCGACTCTAAAGTAGCACCACGGAAAAAGCTAGGCATTGGCGTTGGCTTCGGCGTCGGCGGCGAGCCCGTGTGTTCAAAGAGGACGCCGTTCAACGGCCAGCACCGTTGCAGAGCTGTGCTCAGGTCTGCCTTCGACGTCTTCCTTGGACACACAGCGACTGCTTGGTCAGCACGCAAGATGCAACAAGTATGTAGAACGGTAGAACGAGTCACGACCGACCTGAGAGCCTAGGATGAGGCCATCCACAGCTGTGGCATGGTGGGAACAGCCAAGAAGGCGACGAGCAGGGAGGCTTCCGACGCCAAGGATAGGCGAAGAAAGACGGCCGCTGATTGGGCGAGCAAATAGCGACGACGCGAAAGAACAACAAAGACTCCAGGCGGGTGAAGTCGGCTGAGTCCGTCGTCAGAGACCGCCAGAGAGTATGCCTCGTTCAGTAAGTCGATCAGTCTCGTGCCAGGCTGGTGAGCCCTATCGAGGTCGTCTACATGGCACAGCATGCAGCCACGGTGCTCATGCTGGATGAGGATCGGCCCCCACCCCGATGTCCAGCCGTCTGGCCATGCCTGCCTGCCCGTGCCCGTGCCCATGCCCGTGCAGGGCAAAAAAGGCGAGAGAAAAGACAAAACTGGATTGACCAAGACTCCAGGCTGGGGCCACAGTACGGGGCCCGCCCACAGGCTGGCTGCCCACAGGTGCACAGAGTGGAGGAAGCGTGGGGACGGCAGACCAGTTGACCGTTTTTTTTTCGATGCTCTAAGGCTGGACAGAGGGCCACCGTGCTACGCAGTGCTAGCTGTCTGCGCAACTTAGTCGGCCGGCCCCACGACCGACTTTATCTTGCTTTCCCCGGACTTCTCTCGCTCTTCGCTGTCTTAGAGTAGACTATACTATCCGTAGTCTACCTTGGTCTGTCCCGTCAGTCTGGTCCTACGTTTAGTCCTACGTCTGGTTGGTATTTTACTCTCTGCCTTACAAGCCACCACTTTCACTACCTCCTCCTCCTCCTGCTCAACCTCATCCTCTACCAGCATCGATTCACTCGTTCCCACCACCCATCCGAGCCCCCTCTACCCTTCCCAGTCCTCCTCAACTGACAAATAACCACCCGAATCAAGATATCTGGTACGAGTGCAAAGAAAAACGGCCGTTTTGCTTGGAAGCAGCCTGTCTGTTTGTCCACACCAACCTGCCGTCTTGCCGCCTCCGAAGAGGCGCTTCCCCGCCCCATCATGGCAGATGATCGCGAGCGCAACCACCATATCGACCACGAATTCGATGCCGACAGCAACGACAGCTATGACGAGAGGACACAGGGCTGGGTGCTCGAGCTAGAGTCCATATACTCGCTCGGCGACCCTCCCAGCGCCCCGCCCTCCGAGTTTGGCGGGTGGAACGATGAGATCGTTCCCGCCGGTTCCATCAGCACCCGCGATGTGCGCCTCCCCGGCACCGCCAACCGCCGTCCCCAAGCCTCACAGCCCCTGCCCGGCGCCGCCGAGTGCCTCGACTTCAAGAAGACGCGGCGCGGCCGCTTCAAGCCCAACAAGCAGACCAAACTACGCAACAGCCTGCTGGGCGCCGTCGGGTTCCTCGAGGCCGCCAACGCGTGTGATTTCGCGGCCAACGTGTGGAACCAGACCCCCGTGCCACGCCATGTCCTCGTGCTCATGGGCCTGGGCGGTACTGCCGCCCTCGGCATGATATACTTCTGTATCAAGGACGGCCGCCTGAGTCTGGCCAACCTGCGCGCCCTGCGGGAGGAGCGCCGCTACCTCAAGACCCAGCGGCCGCGGTACCTCGACAACCCGAACATGCTGCGTACCATCGACTGCTTCCTCGACATGAACACGAGAGAGAGCGGCACCGAGTTGGTTGACAGGATTGGCAGTGACACTCTACTGGGAATATCGGCATTTATGGTCGGTATCGGTACATACATGGCCATGGATGGGAACCACGACAGTGCAAACTACCGGGCAAGCAACCTGCTGACGGGGTACATCGGAAACACGTTCCCCGCCATCTTCGGAGTCACCAACCTGCTGTGGTCCACCTACGTCTTCATACGGGCCAAAAAGCAGCAGGCCGCAGCCCTCAACTACGTCAAAGGTTCGACCAGGATCAGCTCCATGCTCCGTAACCGCACATCCAGCATCCAGTTCCACGCCGCCCTCAACGGCATCACCGGTATCGTCGCCGGTGTGGCCGCCCTGATCACGGCCACGCAGTGGTGGGCCTACCTCCTACTCGTGCCGTGTATCCTCACCTCGGGAACCGTCAACATCTTCTGGCGCAAGCGGGTCGGTTACGAGCGGCCCTTTGTGCTGGGCCAGATATCTTCCATCGACGAGGACACCGTATTTGAAGCGCTGAGATATGCAAATGACTATCACCGTCGGGTATTAAGGGTCAAGGCATCAGGGGAGAGCGACGCGTTCACGTCACTCGTGACGGACCCGAACTCGCTGATGTGTGCGCTCGACGTCATCAGGAAGAACAACTTATTTGAGGACTTTTGTTTGCGCGTCCTCCGGGACAGGGACTTGTCGGGCAGGCTGTTCGGACACGCCAGGTTCGCCATGAATTCGTCGGTGTACGGGCCGACGATAGACTGGCACAGCCTCGCGGAGACGCAGGACGAGGTGCTGATGAGGCTGCTCCTGCAGGTCGCAAAGGACCTCCTCAACGAGGACGCCGCGAACTGCTTCAAGTACCAGGAGCGGCACCTACTCGAAGTCCTTGGCTGCTATATGTGCAGAGGCGCGCAGTTTGGGAGGTCCAAGAAGGCGAAAGGCAGGAAACCGCCGTCGCAGCGCGTCCAGACGAATGTGCATACCTACGCGGGCAGGCACGCGAACGACTGGCTTTTCGGAGGATTCTCGCTCACCAAATCATTAAAAAAGGTGTTCCGAGGCTGAGTACATATAAGCAAGGCATATAGTGATCATATTAATCGTAATATCTCGCATGGGCTCGATGGTATCGGTGTTTTTGTAGTGATGTCTTGCGTGAGTGAACCTGCAGCCACCGGGGGCGGGCGTTTGTCGCTTGTATACACCCCTGGTTGTTGTGACGGAATGAAATCGGGAGAGAAGTGAGAAATGAGTTCAAGAGTCAGACAAAGGTCCAGTCAGACATATCTATGCTTCAAACTGCCTAGGTAAAAGGGTCCAGTCAGACATATCTATGCTTCAAACTGCCTAGGTACCTGGGAACCTAGGGAGGCTTAGACCTTGAAGCGAACCGGTTCGAATGGAGCCAGCCGCATTCAGCCGAGTTGGCTTTGCAGTGCTCCCTTATCGGCACCGATAAGCATTTGGAGGCAGTCAAAGCTGTCCTCTTCCGCGCCGACCACCACCGCCGCCAACAGTAGAGAACGAATTCAACTTACAACCACCACGTCCTTTCGCTTTTCTTTATTTTCCACTACACCGAAACCTTTCAGTAGCAAATTTTTCTCTAGACTCTACTCTCCCTGGCACACACGCGCCACGAAATAAGCCAACCCCGTAATAAACCAGCCTCACCACTCACCTGCGACAGCTCGCTTCCACCATCACCAAGCGCACAAAGAAACCCAGAGAGACCGCCGCCACAATGTCCGCCGACCAGGACACCTTCACCTTCCTACCGCTCCACATGGACCCCCAGTCCAAGGCCATATCCAGCACGCACCCGTCCACGTCGTCGCGCGCCCTGGCGCAGGAGCTCGAGACCCTGAACGCGCTCCACCGCTCGCTCCTGTCGCTCGAACACCCGGCCGTGGTCCCCCCGCCGCCGGTCCCCGTGCACCCGAAGCGGTCCAACAACATCACCAAGCTCAAGGAGAGCGGCAACAAGTCGTTCAAGGAGGGGAAATACCAGGAGGCGATCAAGTTCTACACCCTGGGCGTGCAGATGGCCCTGACGAGGCCCGCGTGGGAGCCGGCGGGCCTCATCCGCGACGAGAGCGCCATGCTACTCGCCAACCGCGCCCAGGCCCACATGGAGCTGCGCGACTGGGTCGAGGGCGGCGCCGACGCCGAGTGCAGCGTCGAGGCCAAGAAGGTCGGGAACCCAAAGGCCTGGTACCGCCGCGGCAAGTGCCTGTTCGAGATGGGCCGCTACGAGGAGGCGAGGGAGTGGGTCGGCAAGGGCCTCGAGATGGAGGGCGAGGACGGGGAGCTGGCCAAGCTGCTGAAGGAGATCGAGGGCAAGCTGCCCAAGTAAAGGGGTGGCGCACGGGGTGGGAGGCCTTTCATGTTTGAGGCGCGGCCATGGCTGCTAGGGATGAAAGGGTGATGGTGATGGTGGTTGTGATTGTGGTCGCATCGAGGTAGATGGGACGTGGTAGACTGGCATGCCATCTCAACCGTCCGGCTGGGATTTTGCGCATCACGGCGTTTGGCGTCACAGGGGGCTTGTCCTACGGGTGGGTCATTAACTATTCCTTGATTATATTCGATAGCAGCGGCAGTGCTTGTATGTGAGATAATGCCGGCAGAAGGCGTGCTGGTGTTTTCCAGCTGCATCACCAAATTCAGTGGTCCGAGTATGTGGCATGCCTCGCTGTCCTTGCTGCGTTCTGGGGAATTGCAATTTGCTTGCTGTCATTTAGAAAATCTCCAAGTACTACAAATGTTGTCCTTCCTGACTTGAACGCTTTGCCAGGTCGAATGTTTGACGCAGCACCCCTTCCACCAAAAAGCCCCAGGATAACTGGTTATACTATGACCACCACACACTTGTCTTCTAAAAAGCAATGCAATGCTGGATTCCCTGTACAACTCCCTGTACATGGGATTGACGAGATGGCAGACCACCCCGTCTTCCCTAATGGTGGCGATGAATGAGCGACAAGCAGACGGGAGACCTCTGTCCATCCCGATTCCGCCAAACAGGACGATGCCCCTCCGAACGAAGCCGACTCCAAACTCCGCGAATGCTTCTGGGCTACCTTCTCAGCCTCTCCCCGGGGTATTTCTGTTTTGGGCCCGTGTTGCTGACTCAATCCCGAGTCGCCGAATCCCGTGGTCCGTAATCCGTGGTCCGTGGTCCGTGTTGATCTTTGTCCGGAACAGCGCCCATCATCCCGTCGGCCAATGTTCCGATTCGTAAAGGCAGGTATTTATGCCGCTGCCTCCTTCTCGGTCATGCTCTTTTGGCTGACCGTCGAGGTTGTCCGCTTTCGCATGACGGCGTCCTGCGACGACATCCTCCGGTCGAGGGCGCGCTCGAGCTTGGCACCGAGGGCCAGCTTCTTCATCCTGTCGTTCTGGTCATCGGTGAGGAAGACGCGCTGTGAAGTGAGAGCCTTGTTCTCCATGCGGGTGAGGCCCTTCTCAATATCGCTGATCTCGGCGATGGCGCTGTCGGTGGTGTGCAGAGAGGGAGACATGGAGTAGGTGCTGTAGCGGACGGAGGCTCGGGACTTTTGGGGTTGTCGTCAGCGAGGTTCAATTTACAGAGCAATGGAAAGAATATTCTGGCCGGAGAGGAAGAGATAATAACAAGGATGCCACTTGCGGCGACTTGGCGGCACAGCGACAGAGACTGCGGGATTGTGGAGGGCATACACGAGATGCGGCTCAGGGGGGGGGTTACGGGCAAGCGCAGTATTGCGCCTATGTAGAACGAATTATGGTTCACTGAGTGGCTCCAGCGACGATCGGCAGAAAGTTGAGCCAGAAGGTGACGTACCGAGGGCGCCATAATTGGGCGAGAGGATTCCAGAGAAGTGGGCATCGTGCAAGGCCAGCAAAGTCGCGTGGGATGATATGTACTGTAGTCTTAGTCTGGCGCAGTGTACGGCTGTTGCTCTGGGCACTGGCTGCTGGGGAAGGATGAGGGTGCCGAGACGAGGAAGAGACTGGGTCGGAGGGCTAATGCAAAGATTGAAGGAAGGAGAAAGAAGTGGAGGGTCAGAGTCGGGGGAGAGGCGTTGTGATGTGGTGGATTGGCTGGACGGGTGGACAGGTGGGTGGGTGGGTGGATGGCCGGATGGACGGGGTTTGTCCTGCGTTTCAAGTCTCGACGGCTCTTCTCTCCTTTATGGTCGAGTTCGGATCAGTTCAGGCCCAGCCGCCTTGGTCAAGATGGGGCATACGAGCTGGGTCGAACCGGGCGGTAGTGTATATCTAGGTAGGCAGTGGGCTGTCCAAAAGAGGGCCTGGTCTGGAGAAGGGTGGATAGGGGAGAGGGAGACTCGATGGGTTCGGAAATTGGGAAACGGTGAGGACAAGACAGGATCGGAGGTGGCGTGGGGATCTGTGATTGTGGTTTGAGAATAATGGCAAGTGAATGAACGCTAGCAGGTGCAGGCGATTAAGGAGGTCGGCCCTGGCTAAGGTTGCGTTGGGTTGTGTTGTGCAGTGGTGCTGCACGCACAACAAGGGAAGGGGAGGGGGACGGGAGGGAGCAACTGCCACAGTGGATAGGCGGGTTGGGTTGCGTTCCGCGTTGGGCCAGACGCAAGAGGTCCAGCAGGGCGGAGAGGCTGTGTGGGGCCTGAAGGCAAGGCCTGAAGTGGCCCTTCGACAGACCTCGGGAGGCTCCTTTGCACCTGGGCGCCCTGAAGGGCTCCACAGCACAGTCTGTGCAGGCCTGTGGACCCTTTCTCAGGAGGCGGAACATGGGCTGGATACTCGAAGGGTACACTGATAGCCACCGAGAACGACTGACTTAACATGTAGTTTCTGAGTACCCGCCCATGCCCCTGCCTCCACGCACCGGTCAGTCGCACCCACCACGCGTGGCTGCAGGGATCAATCCGCACGATGCGACGGAGGGAGGCCCAGAGATTCTACACTACCCTGTCGCCTCCCACATGCTCCCAGGCTCCTTCCTCCTCAACTCGTGCTCGCCTTGCCTCGCCTCGCACCTGCCGCCTGCCACCTGCCAACAACCTTGGGAGGCATGCTGTCAGGCTGTCAGGACCCTGCTGCAAAGTGCATGCGATCTGCCTTCCAAGTTTCTCGGTCGGAATCATCGTTCTACACGTGTACGTACGACAGTACCACGGTACCTGCTGCCTATCAATCTGTCAACCAGACAATCGATTTAATACATATCAACCAACAGGGCAGCTGCACGGCCACCTGAACTGGCCAAAGTGGGTAACGGCTTAGCAAGGTTTGGTCTACTGTTTGGACGAGGCACAGTTAGTCCTAGTCTGCCTGCCGTTCTGCCCTCTCCTGCATACTTGTCCCCTGACGGGAATCGAAAGAAGGCAGCTTTGTTCTCGCAGAATGGCTCAACTCGACTCGACTCGATGAGCTCCACGCCGAGAAAACATAACAATACTTACCTGCAGCGCCACACTGCAGACAGGCAGACAGGAGCGCGGTCAGATCGCCCCCCCCCCCTCCCCAGGAGGTCTGCTGTAGGCACATCAAACGACGTCTACACAGTAGCCTGGCCTCGCCTGCAGGCCTGCAGGCCTGCAGACCTGCAGCTGACCCGGCCACGGCTGCTCCGTGCCTCTCCGTGCCTCTCAGCCTGGCCTGCCCAGCCTGGCCTGTACTCTGGACTCTGGTTTTCCGGTTTTCCCTGCAGCTCATCATTTGGGCCCTTCCACTTCCAATTCCCTCCAAAGGTTATCTTGATCAGCATGCACGATCTGCCACCCGCCACCCGCCATCTTCTCCTCAAACCCCATCTCGCAGGCGGAAGGAAGCACGCTGTCAGCTCACCAATGGAACATGACCACACCCTCTCCCATCTCTCCATCAGACGAGCACAATCCTCAGGCCCTGAGCTGCGAGCACCTGACTCTGACCGATGCCACTGCGTCGAGCTGACAAGGACTAAACAGCATTGTCATCGTAGTGTAACGGTGCTAGTGTTCAGGTATTATTGCACAGACCACACTAGAAACCGAAACAGATGACAGCTTGCAACGGAGCTCTTGAGAGTTTGACGCGGTCCAGGTAGCCCCAAACCTTGACTCGTTGGACTTCCTGCTCACCACCCGCCGCTTCATGCCCGCCGCACGGCCTCGTCGTCCCTCGGTCTCGACACTCAAGCGCCGGACCCGACCCGATGAGACACCCCTCTCAGTAATCCACCTTGATGGATGGCCCCATTTTCCCTCCCCAAATCCTCCGAGACTACACCCAATTGATCATCGGGGGCCGTGGGCGGCGGGCAGCCCCGTCCGTTGATCCTTGCCTCGCATAACAAGCACGTGGCGCCCACGCCGTCCCACTCATCAGCAAGCACCGCAGCAAGCCAAGCAGCTCCAAGCAGCAAGCACCGAGCGGCAGCAGCGTACGACAGCACGCACAACAGCGGAAGCACATGGCAAACCTGCCCGAATCCGAGCACAATGTACCATCAGCGTCGTACTCGAGTGCAAACAACACAGCCCAAGCGGGAACAGACCACAGGGCACAACCCCTCTCGACCGGTACTCGACAATCATACCACGACAAACATCAATGTTTCCGCCTCACACGTGTGAGGGTGTGCTACTGTAATGTACCGTAGCTACTAGCCACCACAAGTGCCCACACAGGTGGGCCAGCCACCCGCCGGGAGCTACCAGTCGATTTGTCTCTCGTGCGATCCGTCACAGGCGCCTCTGCATGCAAGCTCCTGCCTCAATCTTGCGCCCACCTCACGCACACTCTGTCCTGCAAGCCAACGTGTAATGTGGGCGATAATTTGTCCTCTCTTTTCCCACCGTAAGCCCGTCTGAGGCAGTACATTGCGACGACACCAGTTCTTCCAGCCAGCCTTGCTGCCCTCCCAGCCAACTCCTTCAACACGTTCTAGATCTTCTGAGGCGGGCATCCTTTCGCCCGTCACGGTCAAAGCGAGCAACCGTGCCATCTGCAGTGTGATTGAGCATGGACGCCCGAGCCTGTCTCCAGAGTCCAATTCACGTCCTGCTGCACAAGGCCACCTCCAGCCAGCAACGGGGATAGCAAAGCGCAGCGGGATGGCGGTCCTACGCGTTGTGCAGTTTTGTGAATTCGGTTCTTTAGCTTCCCTGCCAGGCAAACTCAATCCGCTTTCAACCGATCTTGTGGCACGTTGCTCAATGGACCATAACACGCCGATGATATGACAGGCGTGAGATCTGCAAGAGCCCAACCGGGTCAGTCCTGGAGCGGGTAGATGGACAGCCACTGCCGTATCTCGATCATGCCCACTCCAGCCACTGTCGTTCCAACCCGTCAGAACATGATCATCCTTTACCAGGCATGAGAATCTATTTGACTGTGCGTACCTGTCCCCCGAGGTACCATTGGTCTGGGCCGCGGTTCGGCTGCGCGAGACGCAAAATTATTCGTGCAAATTAGAACCAGACTTCCTCCAACAGCCAGTCCTTTGACATAAACCAGCAAAAGCACAGCCGTTTTACGCCCTGTCAAATCGGCCGCATTGCTTCCTAGGTTGCATAAGCAAGCACGAGAAAATGAACAGCAGAAATGAGCCATCAACAGCGGATTGTCCTGCTCCGTCTCCCCGCCCGCCCCCATCAAGACCGACAGGAGCTCGTTCGGACAGTTTGCATCCCCCCGGCGGCCGTCTACGCGAATCACCATGCTACGACCAAGTATCACACCTTTCCTGTCATAAACACTAATGCAAGCATGGGAACGGTATTCACGGTGCGACTTGGCCGCAGCTGGTCTTCGTGGTTGTCGGCTGGGTAATCTTGACGCATTACTAAGATATGCAGAGGCGTTGTCATACATGTGAGATATTCTCCCGCTGTTTTAGGGAGGGGATTCTGGCTTGATGGCTGTGGAAGGTGTCCTCAGTCCACGAATAGTCGCACAAGGAGTGTGCTCACAGATAGTGGGGATCTAGAGTGCTGTCTAACACGCAGCGGCACAACCTCAGCCCCCGAGCACGGGATGACATGTGATCCTGTCAGGTTACCCACAAACCGACTTCTTATATGCAAAGTCCAGAGCCATCGCTCCGCATTACAAGCAAATATGTTGTCTGAGTTTTACTACTCGCCCAGACGGTCAGTGCGCTGTGCCTATCGGCCAAGGTCACTGCCTCTGCCTAGTTGTGTTCAGAACGAAACCAACAGCCTCGACATTATCTTCAATGCTGGGTGTATGTATTGTGCGCGAATAGCAACAGCCATCTCACCCCTTCGATCTTTCCACTGTACGGAGCCTAATTGAGCTTCTCCCTTCTCGCACCAAGCAATCTGTCTCCACGATGAAGGTCTCATCTCGTTCACAATGGACAAGTGTTCCTCGGCCTACTATAACCCTGTAGATGCGTAACAGTCAGTAGGAGACCGTTGGGTGTGGCTCCAAGTGTGCGAATTGAGTTTATATGGTAGAATATAGGAGTCTGCAGGTGGCGGCCGAGTGTGGTCGGGGCACTTCCTTCCTTTGAACTTACTCCGTCACGGACTTTCCAACCGCTGCTTATCCGTGAGTATAGTAGTCTGAGTCAGCCTCACCACATGGAAAATATCGAACTCGCTTTATGTAACGCGGGTGACTGCCTAGAAATCTTCAAGTAGTGGTTCAAGTCAGCGTCGCTCCGGTGTGCTCCTTAAGTCTGCTCGGCCTACTCTGCACTCAACCAGACAATTTCAAATCAACATGGTCGATGATACTGCAGAGCGTGTGGGACACCATTACCTGCAAAGAGTGGTTCTTGTATCTGAAATCACCTGCATCAGTGGCTCACACAATTTGAGGACTTGTGAGATTTATTGACGCGTAGCTGTAGGTGATTATCTCACTTCTGTGAAGTCTCTCGTTAGGTAAACCCACACAACTCTCTACCGGATCGGAACCTTGTCTGGCAGTGCAGAAAGTCATCGATTCAGAATTAAAATGCTAAAGTAACGCGTATCAAATCCTTCCCTACTCAAAATTCAACGTCTCGTCCATCCTGTCACATCCTCGCTTTTCCCTCGCAATAAAAATAGATCTCAAAGAGGAAATCTCGCTGTCCACAATCAGCAATAGTATTTCCCGCTCGAAGAAGCTTCCGCGACCCATGCCAACCCGCTCCCGCCATTTTTGTGTTGCCGAGAACGTCTTCCCTGTCCTTCGTGGTGTCCCCTGCGCCCATTGCCTCCGCTGACTCCGTCGCCAGACGGGGCATTATCGTCGTCTTCATCTGTAGCTGTCAGCATGCCCGGGAGTCACAGCTCCACCGGTTCTGTGAAAGCAGAAACATATTACCTTACAAGTACTCACACGCTCCACCCATTGAGTGCATGCACATCTCCGGATCCTGAGCGCCCTGTCTCTGGACATAGCCCCTGCAATCGGCCAGGGTGTTGGGGGAAGCTTGACAGCGACAGCGCGTCCATTGTTTTCCAGTCCAGGGACACCAGCTATGGGGCACTTCCCCATTCTCTGAGTGTTGCCGCGAGGATATCTAGGATGGCCACAAGTGCTGCTTGTATTTGTCGCAGGATCATACAGCGCGTGACCGCAAAAGTTCCACTAGATTATGACATGTCCGCAACTGTATTCGTAGTAGTATGCATTGCACATCTTGGTGGGAAAAAAAAAATATTATCAGAGTAATACTGTCATGTAATCTCCAGGGTAATCTGGTAGAGGCTGTCCGTATTTTCGATGCGATGCTCTTTGGCTTTGGCTTTGGGTGTGGTTTGTTGTGTTTATGATATATTGACAGCCTCTTTCTTGCCTTGGAGCCTTGGAATTCTGACCGATTGCTCACTTCGCGGTGTTGCTGTTTACTTTCTGCTTGCAAGTGGATGCTCAGATTCAATGGCATACCTTGGTGTTTTGGTTGAAATTTTAATACCTAGATTCCCCGAGCAACACGTCCCCAGAATGTTGCTCTCACATTTTTCTAAAGTCGCCTAGTTGATGACATATGTGAATGAGCAAACAATATGTTGAGAGAAATTGTGTGGAAGTTGAACCTTGCCGTATTCATTGGAGAGTAATATGCTATATACAAATACGTTTTCCTCTCGTGTGCCTTAGAAAACGTGCTGTACTATTTGTTGCGTTAATCGTATTAATTGCTCAATATGCAAAGCTGTTGAGCAATGGTTCCTACCTGGTTAAGTGACCAGTGTCGAGAAAGAGAGATTACTATTAGGAAACGGCATCGCCGAGAGGCTCTGGTGCCCATTCCAACTATACGTTCGAGTACATCAAATCACAGTGTCCAACTTTCAGCCGCTTCTGAAGTTACGGCGTCCTCATTTCTCCTTGTGCTTCCTCTTCTTGTGGCCAGAAGAGCCTCCTTTCGAACTATAGTCCATCTCGATCCACTGATAGCCCTGGCTCGAGGATCCGCCATGCTTGGACGACTTGTGATGCTTGTGCTTTGACGAGCCGCCGCGCTTTGATGAGCCACCATGACTTGAGCCGCCCTGGCCCGAAGTCGCTGAAAGGGCAGTGTGTCAGTCTTTTCGAATTCATTGTGACAGGCAGTCGTGCTACATCTGGCCGTTGACTCACAGTACGGGGTACAATTCCAGCAGCAGCAGTGATCACACTTCGTGACTTGCTCTACCTGCTGCGTAATGGCGTTGACCTCTGTTCTCGGGTTGTCGTACGTACACCAGCCCACGTAGTTGGGGCCGTTCCCGCACTTGCAACATATCCAGCTCCCGCCGAGCTCTTCGAAGAAGCAGAGCTGGTTGGTACACTTGGACTCGGTGTCTATGGGCGCTGCGTACGTGGTGTTGTGGCAAGGAGTGGTGACTCGGGTTGCTCCATCGAAATGGGCGGCCACGCAGTGGTTGTAAGTCACCGAGGTGTGTTGGCACGGGTGCCTTTTGGGGTGACCAACGCACATCTCGTTGAGAAGTAGGATCGAGAATTCCACAAAGATGTTGATTACTTCCCGGAACACCTGTCTGTCTCCCGGAATCCCGTTGAATCAGGGTGCTCCTCAGGAATCTCGCCCTCTTGAGATGTGCTGGCCGCCATGGCCTCTTTATAACTCGATCAGTCGCCAGGAAGGAGCACATGCTTTCCCTCCCAGACATGCTCGTACGTGGTGATCAACACATTCTTTCGTCTAATAAATCCCCTTCGAGCGTACTAGATGCCAATCAGGCCCCGGGTCTTGCAATTTGGCGTCGAGACTGCTCATCAACGGCAGCCGGATAGCTTAATTGGATCGCAATCTGGGGCCAAGACGGCAATTGGTCACGTCTCTGGGAGAAGCCAGGCTGCATGGGAGATGGACCGTTCCTGTCATGAGAGATCTACATGTGAGCGAGCGCGGCGCTGCTCTCGACTCTGTCCTCGAGGTCCAAAGGCGGCATCCGCGGTGGAGAAACACGAGACACGAAACCATTCTCAGATTTGGTGTTTCGGGACTCAGCACTGAGTTACCCGCAACCGACAATTAAAAGTTCCGCACGGCGTACGAGATGCGGCAAGTCGAGAGATCTGGCACAGAAGCGTGCACAACAGCTGCTGCTTGACCAGGCTGTGGCAGATTGCCTGATGTTGCACTGTTTCCGATGCAACATCTGGGGGCCTGGAGTCGAGCAGCAGGCTGCCGTCGTGCGACCGAGGGCTCATGAGGCCCTCTCTCCCGGCTTGACCGGTGCAACCACCGCTCGCAGTCTTGCACGAGGGTCTCTTACACACCCTTTCAGCTCGCCCAGCCATGCGGTCACACGGCACCAGGCCGAGAGCACGGGCGTGCTGCAGTATCCACCCGGCACCCAGGCTCGTGGAAGACCAGGCTCCACATGCAGCCCTCGAGGCTCTCGCTTATCTGGTTTGCAACAGGTTTGACAGGAATCTCACACCGGTCTCTCGGGGCCCCACGTGAGCCCTGGACCGGGAGGATGAATCCTCGAGGGGGTGGGTGATGTCAGACGGCTGAGGTCATAGCCCTCTTTGTATCTTGTATCCGGCTGTCTCTTTTGTCTTCGGACACTCAACGTGGGTCTCCGAATATTGTCGGTGCAGTTTACTTTTTTTCTGTTGAGGTTACACGAGACAAGGGACAGGTCATTTTCCGACACATTCCGGGTAGGTACCTGAGTACTTGTGTTGTGCTGGGGTTCCCACACACCGGCCAGCCCCTGTATCGACCAGACCAAGGAAAGGCGAACGAGGTTGACCAACGGACCGAAGCATAACAAGGGAAAAAAAAGAAAAGAAAAAATGAGGCGACCTGGAAATTAAGGATGGTGAGGTCAGCCAGGCAACAACAAACAGGGCGCACAGCGGTCGGAGCCCATTGATGGGATGGCATTGTCCAGCACCGTTTCGATCTCCACCGAGGTGCATTGCATGTATCTTTTCCCCCCTAGCTATTTATGGACGCAACCCAGATCTGAATCTGACTGCATGCGTCTCGCAGATCCGATCTGTGTCGTGCATGCAGGCGATATCCCAGGGCCATCGGCAAGCTCTGTCCCCCCCGGCCAATGAGAATCCCCGGGTCCAACGTCTTCAGGTCCCAGGCATTCGGGATCCCTGGAGCCGCATTCTTTGCTCTTCGACACGGCCCAAAGAGGACTCGCGATCTCTGCACCGCGGCGCTCGTGCCTCAAACGGCCATGGATTCGTCACAGGCAAGCCCCCTTTTGGTCACAGTGTCGCACATTCTCCCAGAGTTTCAATACTATCGACACGCCACGGAGTGCCACGGACCTGGAGGATCTTGTGCTCGACATCATCATCACGTCTATTTGGGGCCTTGTTCACAATCCAAGATGATCACCATCGAATGTTTTCTCATCATCGACACTAAGAGATGCCCTGCTCCATCATAGCCCTCTTCTAAGTCAGGTCATACATACATCAGTTCCGTGTGAACGCCACCATTCCGGCCCCCAACCTCTTGTGACCCCCATACCTCCCCCATCCGTAGCCCATATATGTGTGCAGCAAAGCGTGCCCTGTTGGTCTTTCGCGAACAAGCAAACCCTAAAAGGCCTCCGGGCACACAAACGCCTTGACACCAAGACTCCCTCCCGATACTCCTTCCTTGCCCAAGAAAAGAAAAAGGATAGAAGAAGAAGAAAATGAAATAGAAAATCCTGGAAAATTAGTACTCTTTCCCATCAAAGCTGCCATCCCCCATCCCCCATCCCTTGACCCGCTTCCTCCCCGTGCGCCAGCCCACCCCCCCCCCCCCCCCCAATCACATCGGCCCGGCCGGGGTGCAAGTCTCGCAGCAGATGTGCTCGCACCACACCTTGTTCCCGTCGACGATCATGATGCAGCTGCAGCGGCCGTACTCGTTGAAGCTCTTGCCGCACCAGCAGCAGTTCCAGCACCGGTTGCGCTGCTCGAACGGGCAGTTGGGGAGCGGGCACTTGGGCAGCAGCGGGCTGCTCGCCGCCGTCGCCGGGCTGCCCTCGAAGCTGGGCGGCATCGGGTACGCGATCGACTGCGCCGTGAGGTTGCGGCACGGCTTGCGCCTGGAGGACGAGGACGAGGACGACGATGACTTGCTGCTGCTGCCCTTCTTTTCCTTCTCCTTGCCCTTGCTGCTGCTGCTGTGGTGCTTCTTGCCGCTGTCCTTCTTTGAGGACTTTGATGACGAGCCACCTGACGATGACGACTTGGACGACTCGGCCGGGGCGTCGGCGCAGTAGACGATGTCTGTCCGCGTGTGCTCGCACGGCAGAGTGTAGGTGATTTGGTGACACATGGTCTCAAGTCTCGTGAACCCTTTGAGGAACTGTAGATCTCCGTGCTTGCCGGTGTTGGAGAGGTAGATTCGATGCTGACGTGGGCCGGACTTGTGTCACGACGGTGATGGAACGATCCAAGGTGCTCTGCGAGTGGAATCGGTCCCTGGTGGTCTGTAGTTGGTGTTTCCTGGGAGCAAGCCCTTAAATATGAAAGTTTCTGTCCGTTGAGGTTGAGCTGGGAGTCGCCGGGATGTGGAAGGGGTTGCTCTGATCGTCTGATGCGATAGGATGCCATCCCAAACCACCAGGCCGGGTATCGACGACAGGGCGATTTTATATGTCGTGGTCATACCGGTCAGCTAGCTGAGACCGCCGCTGGGTCTCCGCATATAAGCACCTTCAGCTTCCGTCGTGTCATTGCTCGTCAGCGGCTCTCGCTTCCAGCCGGAGTGGGATGGGATCTCAACAAGTGCCAGGGGTGGGCGATCAATAGATGACGAGGGCACGTCGTCGAGGACCGTCGATGTTTCTCGACGTCTCGTGTCATCGGATTGGCCAAGCCAATTTGGAATTCCTTCTTTCCAGCCGGGCCACTGTTGGACATGTCCCGACCGTCTGGGCGTGGACTCGATTCGGCACAAAGGAGAAGAGGTTGCGACGGGATATTGGGGCGAGGAGGGGGGGTGTGGGGCCACGCGGTGATCTTCGCGGGTGACAGACGCCTCAAGGCGAGGGAAGGGTGGTTCCCACGGAGCCGGATCCGTATGGTTGAGGGTTGTACAGAAACATTTTGCTTTAGTTGTTCCCATCTGCTTGGGTGGCCCACCTTGCCCACCTCCCGAGTCCCGCCCGTGTGGCCCGTACCGCCTAGCCTCCCAAAATTCCCAATGGCTCTCACAGCCTCATCGAATAGTCTATGAGGGTACCCCACCCAAGCCGAAGCCACTTGGCCGTGCTGGTGTTGCTCATTGGAATGTCAGGGTCCTGGCCTCGTGTGGCACAAACATGTGCTGTTCAGCTGACCTCCTGCCCTGCTGCACTCCCTTGTAGGACCCTGGCTTGCGAGTTTACTTTTTTCAGCCCACAGGATCTCGCTTACGAGATCTTGCAGCCCGATGCCGAATCGAAAAAGAAACCCTTCCGATCCCAACAGAGATCGAACAGCCAAGCATGTGCGTAATATCTCTCCCACAGATCTCCAGCCCGCAGATGTGGGCCCTTTGTCTTCCGCAACAAAAAAAAAAATAAAAAAATCAAAATCAAAAACACAAAGATGGCAACCCAGAGAAAAGAAAAAGGCTCCACCACTGACTGCCTCGTGTGTGCTTGCTTCTGGCCCGGCCCGACTCGCTTCTGTTGCCCCAATCGTACAGCAGCCCCGAGATGACAAAAGTGATGCCTCGATACCCGGTAGAACCGAAAGAAGAAAAAAGGAAAAGGAAAAAAAAGTCCAAAAAGGATTCGATACGTCACCGGCCGGGTCCAGCTCCTCCTGCCCCAGGACCCGCGGCCACATCCGGCTCGCACCCCAGGCAGCACTTGTGATAGCAGAGCGAGTCTGGGCTCTTCTTCATCGGATGGTAGCAGACCGGGTAGGTGTTGCCGCCCAAGCCGCAGCGGCAGCAGACCCAGAGCCCGTTCAGCTCCTCCAGCCGGCACGCGCCCCGGCTGCACTTCGGGCTGGCCAGGCACCCGCCACTGGCGCACGGGTTGTTGAAGTCGATTCCCAGGCTGCCGCTCTGCTCGTCAAAGTAGGACGTGTCCGGGCAGGCGGACCAGGTCTGGAACGTCTCGTCGAGCGTGGCGGCCGGGCAGAAGACATAGTGTATGACAAACTCGATGTCCCTCGTGCATGGGGCACTGTGGTGGTGATGGAGGTAGTAGTAGATACACATGGCTGCCGTGTGCCCCGGGCAGAGCTGGTGCGACGACTGGGACTGAAGTATTCCAAGGGGTGTGTTGTTGATATCCAGGCGGGATCGTAGCCGCCTCTGTGGCGCCGGCGAGGTCTCAATCGGAAACCTTGGAGCCCCTGAAGGTCTCGACCTCGAAACCTCTCGAGTGGCGTGTCGACGCGGGGTGGGTGGGCGGATGGGTGTGTGGCTGAGGCACTCTGGCGTGGTCCTCTGACGACTATGGCGAGTGAGGCCCAAGCTGACCGAAGTGATGCTAGACACTGGCAGGACCGTGAGAGCGGCTGCTTCCGAGGACCTGCATCAAGTCAACGTCTGTTTTCACACACATGGGCGAGAGGGGACGTACCTAGCCGAGACAGGGGAGCTTGCAGGATGGTGGGCCGGTGCAGCTGTCAGATTGAGCAACGGCTGCAAGAGGAGGAGATCTGGTGTGGGAGAAGAGGCTAGGCTGATATTATATATCTTTCAGTCTGGTGACTAGTCTGCCCCTGTGGTGGAGGTGGGACGATCTGGATGAGAGATCAGGAGAGGGCGTGTGCCTGGCTTGATCCTTTGCCCTGTGAGGCTTTCGGACGAATATATCCTGGGGCAAAAGTCAGCCGGTCCCCCTATGTTCTCGAGTTCTTGTGTGTCCACGGACTTAGCTCTTCCTTAATGGCAGTGATTCCGTGTCGGACTTGCTTATTCTTGCGACGTTGTCGACTCCCTGCTGGGCACAAGAATGCCATGCGCATGGCTTGGACGGAGAGACTCGGTGAGTATTTATACGAGTCCTTTCAAAGAGACCATGTCGAAGATCATTTGTATAAGGCCGCCAGATCATGAGCAAATCCCGTTTTGCCGGTAGCAAAAAGCCCCCCCTCTTCCCGCGGGCCTTATTTCGCGGTAGCCATGTGCTTGTGTGGAGCACACTACAACGCCTTCCCGCCACCCTTCCATCCCATCGGTACCAAACTTTTGCATCTACTCGCAACATTGCAGAGCCGGGCTGCAATAATTGGCCGCCACTGTCCAACCAGAATGCCACTGTGGCCTTCTACACGTGGCTTTCTCGTGGTTTCTTGTACGTTGCGGAACGTTGGGAGGAAGGCGAACTCGTGGGATTCTGATGTCCGAACTTCAACATGAGACATCTGGGAGCCACAGGATGTGAGACACCACGAGATGCTCGGGGCCTCAGATGCGCCCTAAAGATAGCAATTCGAGATGACCCTGAATTGCTAGATCCAGGCAGAATGTAAGCGCCAAAGGTCCGCTCCCGATCTGATCTGAACACGAGGCCCCTGTCAGTCAGGTCGGCAAGAGAGAGTGAGGGAGAGGGAGAGGGAGAGGGATAGATAGAGAGAGATGGACCCGCGGCAGATCGCGGGTCGCTTCTGGTTAGAGTGCCTGGGTAGTACGTGATAATGCTGTACCGCCGGGACCTGAAAGGAGGAGGGCTGAACACGCGATGTGGCTTGTGCCATGTAGGCGCCAGACGCCCCATCCCACATATCCTGCCGCACCTAGAATCACCCGAGTGGTTTGCAGCCCACCAGGTGTGTGCCTCGTCGAGCTTCAGGTGTATTTCAAATCCACGATGGCAGGCATTGTGTGTTGATAGCTTGACGAAATCACACGGTTTCTGGACGAATGCCCCGAAAACGCTCGGAAGAAGTAGGAAGGCCGAACTATGTCGTCACCAAATGGCAGAAAAAGCAAAAATGAGGCACGTCTCCTGACCCACTGGGTATCCAGCGGACTTCGGCGCCAGGCACTCGATGGTTCTCTGGGCACTTGACCATATCTATTCATATGCAAATCATTGCCCAGCGGACCTTGACGGCGCCAAACTGGCCCCGGTGACGTTTTCCTGATGCTGTTTCTCGATATGCGCGCTGCATGCCTGTCAAAGCGAAGCCGTCCTTTTGCTTCCTCTCGGGAGGATGTGACAGGTCATCCTGTCAATCAGGTAGTGCGAAATGTGCCGTGTGACAAGGGCATCTTTCACGAACACGACGCCAGCGGTTGTGCGACGGCCAGAAGCCACGCAACGCCTGTCGCCTTGCGAGAGGGCCTTCGAGAACGCACTTGCGCACGCCTCGTAAGCTTCTCGAAGCCGCGCGGCACCTTCTGCGGTCTCAGAGAAGCTCTTGCGTCCGGTGTCGTTCAGGCCCTGTCGCGGATACCGGCGGGGACAGCTGGGGCCGCGAACCGTCCTGCAGTCCCAGGTACCGATGCCATGGGTCCGATTCGATCCTAATCTCGCTGAACGCAGTATCCTGCATGTTGGAACGGAGAAGTAACGGTCAATGCATAATTGACAGGTGTAAGACAGGGGTTGCCATCTGACAGACGAGGTGTGTGTGCCTGTCAAGCCTCTACCAGAAGAGATGGACACCAAGCACGTCTGGTTTGGGAAGGGAGTGGTAAACCAGATACCCGAGCAACCACTCCCTAGCAGAAGCTGAGGCAAAGAGTAAGGGTTTGGGACTGGATCCTGGGGCCCCAGAAGTCGCACAAACGCCTTGCTCGGCCGAGCTGGATCCATAGGAGACGTCACCGCGCAGTGGACCCCTGAGATGCGGTTACACGAGCAATCTCCAGATCACATTGCATTCCAAATCGAGTGCACACCGGCCTTGGGTATTGGGAAATCAGACCTATTTTGGCGAACACTGTCTAACAATATCGAGGTGCCGTTGAGAGGGCCCTCGGCGGGAATAGAAGCGTGATTCGATAAGATACGGCATGGGATATATCCGAGGCTGCCACATGCGCCGGCATGTCTCGATTGATAGACACAAAGCCGCCAAGCTTTCGAACTCGCATCTCCACAACAATCAACCTGCGGACTTGACGCAGGAAGACCTAGTGGGATTTCGGAGGAGCCCGGTCCAAGAACGCTGGTGTATCGAGCAGAGGCAGAGTGAAGCGTGCCACTGAGATCGTTGATTCCGTGTGATCAGCCACATTGTACCACGCCAACTATCGATAACCTCTCAATGGCATCGGATGGCGTGTGCCGGCCCAAGGGGTCTAGACCGAGATGCATACTGCAATGCACACTGCAGCAAGCAGAGGCACCTCATCTCACACAATGCGATCAAAGACTAAGACTCCGGGGAACTTAGTCCGCGTGCGCGTCCCACTTAGGCCCAGCGCCAATGCATGTGCCGTGGTTGCTTTTCTGTTGCTTTTTTTCCTTTTCCGCTCTCCAGCTACCAACCGCGCTCCCTCCATTCGGCCACTCACGGCTCTTGCATAAGTACGGTGTATCGTGTTCGGAACGTTGTGAGACACCCTGGGTCCGAAAGCTTGTCTCTGACGGGTCCAATCTCTGCAGGTAGATGGGGTATTGTCTGGCTCGTAAGGGGGGTGTCTCAGCGCAAGGTCCTCCCCAACACGACCTTATGATATACGAGAACCCGGGATCGATGGCAGGATCGGACATTGTCTAGCAATTCCTCCGAATCTCCTATCGCCCGCCCAACCAAGATCCCGCAGAGCCGACTGCATATTGCAGCTGGGCTCGAGGTTGAGGTCCGACCGAGCTGTGAAGTTAAACTCGGCCCCACAGCCTCGACAACCGTGTAAGATGATTGGTTTCCTCCTCGACCGCACCACCTGGTAGCACTGCCGGACCTCACCTGACCGAGCACACCCTCCAACGCTCAGCATTAGTCTGCCGCCAGAACCCCCAGACGACATTAGCGCAGGCACTGAGAATGAGCGGCCCCGTTAGGCGAGTTGCGGGCTGCAAAGGACCCAGGGGCAATCATATCATCATGCCCCTGTTGCATGATCTTGCAGGATCGAATTTTCATCCAAGGGCGCCACCGCCTGAAGGGAACCACGGGAGCCGTAGAGAAATGTCTAGGAGATTCCACGGTGGCAGCTTCGGCATGCATTCCGCCAAGCCATCATCCAAAAGCAGGCCTCTTCAGCTTCGTGAACCATCGGCGCTTGTCTTTCTCGTGACGACCCCGACTGTGCGGCTTTCCCCCCGTCTCAGGTTGACAGATGCAGCCGAGCGGCGGATCGTCGGCGGTGAGCCAAAAGACGGGCACCCCAAGAGATGGAGACGGACAAGGATCATCGCTGTCACACTTCTTGGTGCACCTTTGGACTTGCTTTTTTTCCACGACCATAGTCCGCAGCCACAGGACCAAATTAGACTAATCATCGTCCCCCAGCCTCACCCACCGTGCAGTGCCGAGTGGACCAACGTGCAGGGACAGAACATTTGAATACGGCTTGCGCAAAGAATAGCAATTCCCATTCGAATGAGCTGGATACATACCCTTCAATATACAGATCTTGGCGAGAAAGGGCGAACCCATAGTCTGAGCCGCCCGGATCCCACCGACGAGGGGAGACGCGCCTCCGGAGCCACCTGGGCCGCGGCCGAGAAGCCGCCACGACAGTCGGTTCAACAACAAATATTCCTGACCAGGTCGGCCCCACATTCCGAGGTAAGACTTGAATCTGAGGCTGACACGTCGGGTCTTGACACGACACATATCAGGGCCGGCCGAGGTCTTTTGGTAGTGCGTGCGTTCAAGCATAGTCAAGCCTCTTCACGGTGGCTTGCCGGCAGGGCCCGTCTAGCCAGACCCATGACCACGCCCTTCGGCAGGGCGGTCTGCAAGCCGGGGCGTTCCGAGGGGCTGGCACTCTGATGGCAAATGTGGGACGGTCAATATCTCATTTTGCTTCGGCTCCTGCGGCATGCTCACAGACGGTGAGGCACATGCTTATCCCCTCTGCTTCCTGGTCGGACAGGCTAGCGAAACAATACCTGTCTCGCCAATTTCTTCTCGAACTGTAAACGACCTTGAGAATGTGCAGCGAGTGGTCTGAGGTGCCATACGACGCATGTTGAATTGGTCCGCCAGAGCAAATTGAATGCTCCTCCTAACGCCAAGCCCAGAGTCCATGTGGTATTTATGATCGCAAAGATCGCTAAGAGAGTAAAAGGATGTGCCGCCCAATCTTCCTGGAGCATAACAATGTTCAAAGTGTCCGCCAATGACTGACCGTCTCTAGAATAGTAGTGTTCTCGGGGTTTGTCCGGGAAGATATGACCGCCATGGATCCTGCCCCTAGGCCTTGGGCATAGCAGGCACACAGATCGCACTGCCAACCCGCAACAACTCACAAGTGATCCCCTCGTTCGCCGCCTTAAGCTTCTCGACGTCGATGCCGTGCATATTGGCGATGCTCCAGCACGTCTCGCCGCGCTGGATCTGGTGCCCGTGGCTGCCGGGCCCGCAGTGCGCCATGTGCTCAGACTTGGCCATCCAGCCGAGGAACCAGAAGACGCCCATCAGGAAGAGTGCCAGGATGAAGAAGAAGTTCAGCAGAGGCATCAGTTCGGCGCGCCAGTGCCTCTTCATGGCGTCGTCGGCCCATCTCTGACTCAGGTTGCTGCGTGCGGTCGCGTGGTCGAGGAATGGTTGTGCTGCCTCGTTCTCGTCGTAGGGCGGCGGGGCGTCGGCGTCGCCGGCTTCGACGTCGATGTTCTCGAGGTTAGACGGGGGCTTGGGGGCGTTGGCGACCTTGGTGAGATGCCCGTAGCGGGAGCCCGGCGGGCCCTCCCAGAGGCTGCCGTCTGCGTCGCGGAAGGTGTAGACCTGGGTGTCGGCGTCATAGCCAACGCGGACCATGCCTTCGGGCAGGCGCTCCTCGTCGGTGTCGAGTTCTGTGTAGCGGGAGGGCATCGTGGGCTGGCCTGGTCTGCGAATGTGTCTTTGTTGTCTGTGCTCTGATTGATGCGCGGTTGAAAGGCGGGACGTGGTTTTTGAGACTTGGTGCTGTTGAGATGGAGGTTGTTGAAGGTTGTCGGATGAGGGAACAAAGGAGGCGATGCGTGGAGGATAAAAGGAGGCTGACCCGACGTGACGTGACGTTAGGTTGGGAGTGGTGGAGCGTTTCAGTTGGGGTCTGCGCCACTGGCCGTCCAACTGCTCCCGCTGCCAGGTGGACAGGCATGACGGGTCCGTTGATTAGTGGGCATTTGCATTATGCAAGAAACTCAATCCAAATGACTGGATGTGTATTCATTATGCCTACGTGTAGAGCAGGTAATCTACTGTTCACAATACCTACGTAGGTAGGTACCTGGCAGTCTATGCTTGCCTTGCCGTTACGTCATCGCTGGTTGGCTCCTTCCTCCCCGTAACCTGTAACCGTGATGTGGACGGCCGACGGTCTGGTCTGCTCAATCACCAGCGCTGCATTCTCCACCGTTTTGTTTTGCATGAACAGCATGACTGGCCGTCCACACAGCGAGACACGGTCCACAGAATTCTTGATGATTGATGGTTGATAGCTCAGATATGTGCCGAGGCAAAGAAGCAACTGCTGTGGGTTAATGTTATGTGGCCGTAATCTAATGGACGGTTAGATGGTGCTTGAGCTTGGGTAACTTTGACCTCCATAGTAATGATCATGAGTTGGCGGTGGTGTGCTGCCAATTGGCTAGTGGGAGGAGGGTATCATTACTACTGTGGCAATAAATTTGTTCACGTCTGTGTTTCGGTTCGGAAATATTGGCTTGCGTCTCTTTAAGTTTGTCTCATTTCCATCCTCAGTTTCTCACACCCCATGGTTCACCGAGCTCGAACCATGAGCTGAGGGGCTGCAAATCCAAGCCTGCCTTGTATCCGTGCCGCCCGTCCCGAGCCGTTACGAAGCTAACATTGTTTCACTCTACCCCCACGTGCTTCTGTTAGAGTCAGCACACAACCAACGTGATGGGATGGTTTCCTGCCGTCATCTCTCGACAGACATGTCTGTACATGAGGAAAGTGCCTCTCTGTCGCCTGTGCACTGCCCACCTGCCTGGGCCAGTGATGGGGTGGCCCCTCCAGTCTGACCCCAGATGACAAGGTGACAGTGCTTTCTGAAACGGATGCCGTTTTCTACACTGCAGGCGTTGACCAGACATGAGCTGTTGCTCCTTCCTTCCTATGACGGTCACCGTGGGACAGGGATCAGAGCTGCAGGCCTGACGTGTGCCTTTCTGCTCTGTTTTCCTAGGCTCTATTTCCCTAGCAGTGAGCTTGGGCTAGGCTAATCTGCCCAAACATACAATCAGCTTCATTCACAATACCTAGACAACGTGGTGGGACAGACAGAAGAGAGACTACCTCTTGGGCACCAACCTATCTACCAGGTACAGTTCCTGGCCTGGATGTGGTGAAGTCAGGTTTTCAGGTCACACACACATCACCTTGCTGCTGCTGGTGCTGGTGCCGCTGCCGCTGCCGCTGCCCCGCCCAACTGCCTCAAAATTCGGACCTTCCATCTTATCGCCTCAGCCCGTTTTCTTCCACCACCGCCAGTTAAGCAAAAGGCAGCAACGGAAGCCTCCAGGGACCTTGAAAGCAGCAGAGAGTACAGAGGTCAAGGTCGAGGTTAAAGGTCAAGGAACAGAAGGTCGAGTTCCACATCTCATAAGAAGGCTGGATAGGTCCCTGGGCAAGGATTCAACTGCCGACTTCGCCGTTGCCTCTGCCTTCGTCTTCCCTGCTGCCCACCACCACGCCAAACGCGCCAACCACAAGCAGCCACAGGCAGAAGCAGACCGCCCAAGATGCTGGGTGACAGGGAAATCGACGCCGCTGTTAACCAGCTGGCCGCCTACCGCAAGGATAACACTCTAAACGACATCCTGACCCGCTATGAGACCCTCCTGGGCGACTACACACGCCTCAAGAGCGACTACGAGGAGGAGCGCGAGGCGAGAGAGCGCTGGAAGCAGCAGGCCCGCGGCCAGGAACGCAACCCCTTCGTTCTAGTCCTTGTCGACGCCGACGGCTACGTGTTTGATGATGACTGTAATCTCAATCCCACCTAACAACCGACCGCACCCACGACCTCCCAGTTTGCTAACCTTTGTGTCCAGTGATTGTTGCCGGCCAAGAAGGCGGCGCTCGGGCTGCCAAGCTTCTCAACGACACCATCAAGGCCAGCCAGAGGAGGAAGGGGCTGGAGGCCTGCGAGACCATGGTCCGCGTCTATGCCAATGTCGCCGGCCTGTCCAAAGCCCTCGCCAAGGCTAACCTCCTGGGCGCCGACAAACGCTCGCTGGCCCCCTTCATCGCAAATTTCAACAGGTCCTACGGTCTGACCGATTTCGTCGACGCCGGAGAGTTCAAGGAGAACGCAGACTTCAAGCTTCGCGAGATGCTCAGGCTTTATGCCGAGAACGCCCAATGTAAACACATCTATTTTGCCGCCTGTCACGATGCCGGCTACGTCTCGCAGCTTACCGCCTATCGGGGCCACAGCGACCGCTTCACCCTTATCAGAACCTCCGGCCTCCATTTTCACGACGAGTTCACAAAGCTTGGCCTGGGCATCGAAGAGTTGCCCGGTGTCTTCCGCCCAACGGGCTCCGCAATGGATGCCCTGTATCCCAAGCCCTTGTTAGGGAAGCCTAACACAGCTCCGCTTCCGCCCAGGAGTCAGCCCACAGAGTCGAGAGACATATGCGCCTTCTACTCGGTTGGCAGGTGCAAGTACGGCGAGAACTGCAAGAATCTGCACGTTGGCCCCGCGCCCTCGCCTCTTGCTCTCCGGCCCTCCAAGCTGAGCCGGTCTTCCTGGCGAAATGGAAGTGAACCTTACGATACCTCCGACTATCCCACACCAGCTAAACCCCATGTCGCTTCCAACCGAAGCTACCTACAACAGTCCGACCTCTTCGCCCAACTTCCGAAGAGGGATGAGATCCCAGACGGTCAAGTCGCCGTCAACGTTTCCCAGCAGCGCCTAGACGCTTACATCCCCGTCCCAACCCCCGAGTCTGAGAACCGCCTCAAACTCAGATCCTCGATGCAGCGGCTCTGCAATTCTAAACATCTAACTGGGTCTTGTGCCAACCCGCACTGCGATTACGACCACGCCCCGCTCGACGAGGACCTCATCCCCACCCTCGAGTGGCTCGCCAGGTCTCTGCCCTGTCCCCGACGCGACAAGTGCCGTAACGCGGCTTGCACCTCCGGCCATCTCTGCCAGAAGCCGGACTGCAAGCTCCGCGGCGGCAAGGGCTTCTGCAGGTTCCCCTGGTCCTTGCACTATGATGACCTCGCCGTTGACCGTTATGTGTCTGCTATTTCGAACCGGCAATCCGTTTCACAGCCCGAACGGTCTGCCGCGCCTTCACCATCCGATCACGCAATCGAAAACGGAAACCGAGACGAGTGCGCAGATGAAGAGGAGGAGGACATCTCCAGCCCAAACGGCGGTATATCAGTAGGCGCATTGTGAGACTCTCGCATCAAACACATCGGGTAGAAGGACAGCCACATCTATGTCCAAATGAGTTAGGCCCAGGCTGCGTGTGGGATAATCCTCCACGGGTTATCACTTGATCAAGAGTCATACCATCTGGACCGAGAGCCATCTAGGGAGAAACCTCTGGATGGACACCAAGATATTTTGAAAGGGCAACTACTACATTGTAGTCTTAAAAGGAGTGTTGATTTGACAATGATGGGAAAAGGAAAAGGGAGAGACATTGTAAAGTGGCATGAGTAAGGCTCAGACACTTGACATGATGCAAGAAGCTCAACGACGAAGAAGGAAGACCTGATGGAAGCATAATGACTGACAATGGGGCTTGGTCTCCTGGGTGGAAAATGTCTAGGTTCCGTCGCGACGAGTGTGTTTGTCGGAACTCGAGTCACCCTTGGGATGAAATCGCTTTCGCATAAAATGGAAAATGGACTACGTGGCAGGGAATTGTCTCATTATTATCACTTAAAAGAAAAAGAAAGAAGCACGGGTTGCGGGGTTTGCTGGAGGGTTTCTCTTAAAAAGCTAAGCGCGCACCGGGTGATCTTCTTGGCCGAGTGGCTCAAGTTTGTTTGTCTACGAACACTTGGGTAGGATGATGATGCGGCACAAGAGACCTCGGTGATGTGATCCGTTATAAAGATAACGCAGTTCTCAGATTGAATTATGACTGCTATCTATTTTGGTCGTTCCGTCATTAAAGGCGTTTGTGGTTCCCATCGAGACTCGTTCAGATGGCCTCCGCAGCTGTTGGCGCCGCCTGCTTCTTCTGACTGGTCACATATGTGCCATAGGCTTCGCTCATCACCAGCCTTCAACTGCTGCATGTCACAGTGCTTGATGCGGCAGATTCGCAGCATGTTTAGACAGCACCACCATGTCGTCATCACTTCTCACACCGGTGGTTTACAGCTCAACGCCCTCCCCCAAACTGTCTTCAGCCGCAAGACCATGTAAACAGAACGCAGTTATCGTGAAGAGTTCCTCTGTCTTTCTCGCCCACTTCAGATTGGGACATCCTGATCTAACCGGCACATTCCAAACCCTGCTCCCATCCAGTACTCCAGGTGATCCACATCCACATCATCATCCTTGACCGAGTAGACGGGGCCGTCAACGAGTGCTTGGAAATTGCGAAAGTCAGGTTCATGCGCTGTCTTCTTCATGCACAACTCTCTGCACTTCCTCAGCTCTTTCACGGCTGTTTTCATGTCACTTCCCAAGCGAAACGTGACGCTGCACGCATCCTCCTCAAGGATGAAATCCTCATCGAAGACGTCCATGTTCAGAATGAGCCGCTCGTGATATTTCATCCAGTGTAAAGTAGAAAAAAGAATGCTTAGGTGCTGGAAATGGGGAAAGAACTCCAGAATGAAATGATGTCTGTCATCAGATTCTCGGAACTCGAATGTCACGGCAAGTGGCTCACGAAGCTCGCGAGGGATGTCCAAGGGATCACTCCCGTTGTAACCCGCATTGTAGCGGAAAGTCCAGGCAAGTTGTTCGTCAATTGCGATATTCTTCACGTGCTCAAGTCCATACAGCTCTTCAAGTGCCCATGGATGCTGATCCAGATCCCATGAATGATCGAAGGCAAGGACGTCTAGGTCGGGGTTCCACCAAGTTCCAGCCTCGCGAACGTTGTCGCGTTGACCGAAAATGAATGAGCCGTGTCGTAGGGCAACTTGGCGAGATTCCCTACAGATCTCGAGGACAGTCGGGATTGGCAATCTCAAGAAGTGACCTTCATAATCGCCGATTTCCCATTTGTAGACTCGGAAATGCCATGTGCCTCGGCGCTTCTTAGTCTTGGAGGAGCCGTTGTCGAGGGGATTTCTCCGATCTCGTCCGAATCGCGCCCGCGCGCGCAGAATCCTTTCACCTGGAAGGAGAAGCTCCCAGATGATGATGCGTAGCTCGGGAGGGAGACGAAACAGCCCTTGCTGATTTTGGATCACTGCACCGGTGTCAGACGAGATCGAGCCGTCCAGATGGTGGTCAATATATACCACAGTCAAGTTGGGATGGCTGGTGTTCTCGGCCGTATCATCATAGGTGGGTTCATCGATCGACTTGTCTAGGTTGTGGTCGATGTAGACGATGCTCAGGTTGTGGTTGGTCTTGGGTCCAGCATCGGGGCTGGTCTCGGTGTCGCCGCCGCCATCGCCGTCGCTTCCGTTGGTGATCGAAGACATGTTCGACTGTTCGCTTAGGCTGTTTGGGATTGATCAAAGACAATGGGTTTGGCGAACCAACGCTGGAAGTGGCTGGAGCCGGGGAATGTGGGAACAAAGTTGGTCGCTTGAGGCTGAGAGACGCGGGGCTACAACTCTGCGATGGTTTCTGCGAGGTTGATCGTCAATGATGAGTGCAAACGAAACATTCGAAAGTTGAAAATGGTTTTGGAAATAAACCCATAAGCAAAGTAAAGGTGTTTCTGCTGGGAGGTGTCAGTACCTGCCTTCAGCTGTGGTGCGAAGATTGCAGGGCGGCGTGCTCATGCAAGCCCTGTAGGTCCTCCGTTGCCGTTGAAAGTTGGTGAGTTGAACTTGGCGCAATTGACAGACTGGAGTAGGTCGTCAATATGGACGTCTGTCCAGGTGGTAGAGGTCTGGTGGCTTTGTTGTTCTTCTTGCGCTGTTTCTGTTTGCTCGAGGTGGTTGGTGGTTGGCAGCGTCAGTGTCAAATTAGGAGGTTTGCGAGTGTTGTGGAATGACACATGACAAGACAGCCCGATGTTTCTAAGAGACTTGAATTTGGGGTTTCAATGGGCCACCCTGAACGGAAAATAAGCAATCGCCGTGTGCCACCTCGTAAGCTTCATTGGGATGGGATGGGATGGGATGGGAAATGAAAGTGCCAAATACCTAGGTAGCTAGGACTGCCTCAAGCTAGGGGCCAACAAAGTGGTATCAATCAAGCCTGATTGGCCCCGACTGCCAGAATCCCCCGAGTGATCTGAAGGTATTTGAAATGGCCATGAATTCATTCATTTTGCGCCTCCGAGGCTCGTCGATCTCACACTCTGTGTCCGTGTTCTGAGTCAAAAGGTTCTCGCTCGAATACCCTCCGATCCTCGTCGCTCAGCCGCTCAAACAACATCTCGAAAAAGTGTCCTCAATGCCTCGCCATATATCTGGATAACTCCTTTCAATGTTTTTGACCACAACATCGAAGTGCCCCCTGCTGAAAGGTGGAGACACGGGTCCGAGACAAATACAAAGCAGCAAGGGCAAAGTACTCCACCATCGACATGATCTACAAGTTCCACGTCCAATCCCAGTGACCAGACACAAGACTTTGGTTGGTGAAAAGCTGTCGGAATCCGTATTGATATCTGCATTTGAGGAAAACAGGATCAGTTGAGATAGATCTGCGCAGGCCTTCGGCGTCCGATAGGAGGTGGTCAGCGGCGATTGTGACCTCCTTCGAAATACAGACATATAGTCCTACCCTACCGTTTTGATCATGGTACCTTCTTTCAGTTCACACGGGAGTAGTTACTGTAAACTACTCCATATGTGGGCTTCCAAAGTCTATCTGTTATCTTCATCGAAGCACACGTACTTCAACTGTAGCAGCTTTAGCTCCAGGTTGTCTCCTCGACTTCCTCGATCACGTCTCCTGCAATGTGGAAGTGCTACAGGTGCTCTCCAATTCCCCAAGATAACGAATATAAAGTTCAAAAGAGGGGAACGTTGTCCGGATCCATGTCTACGAAAAAATGGAGAACAGAAGCATCCACATGCTCATCGCCTTCACACGACGCCCCTCTGCGGAATAGAGGTCCAGGCTTGTCCTCTGTTTCATGGAAGAAATAGTCCATATTAATGATGTATCGATCGGGCCGGTTGAGCTGCTTGCTTTGCACCCACAGACTCCCCAGTCGGGTCAGCTTTCGCTTGACTTCGTCCAAATCGTCATTAAGGAAGTCGAAATCGACTCGAACATCCGGAAAGTGATCATTGTCGAGTCCTTCCGCTGGCTCTTGCAGCAATCTTGTAAAGAGCACTGCGAGGTTGTCGGGGTGGATTCCATTGAAAAGAAAGAACTTGAAATAGGGTGTGTCGTCTGGGTACCACAGTCTGAATCCTACGGGTTGCTCGCCGCTGTGACTGTGGATGTTGCTGGGGTCGTATGCTGGGAGGTCGCACCGGTAAATGGGACGGTAAGACATCCACCGCGCCAAATCCTGATCAATGGTAACGTTCTTGACCTTTTCCAAGCCCCTCAGCCCCTCCAAGGCATTCCATTCAAAGCGCAGATCCCAGTTGTGGGTGAACATGAGGATGTCAACTTTGGGATTCCACCACAGTCCTGGTTCTGTTGGGCTTTTGCCGAAGATGAAGTCTCCGTTACGCAACATGAATTCGCGCGTCTCCCGGCAGACTTGGGTGAGGCTAGGCTGTCGAGTCCACCCGCGGAAAATAAAGATGACCCAGCCGCCCGATGCCTGATCGAATCTTCCCCTCAACTGTACGGTCTTCCTGTCGGGGATTGAATACTCCCAGACTAATTTTCGTATCTTGTGAGGTAGGACGAAGATGCTGGGGGGTTGCTGCGTAGTTTCTGTGTCAGGCGCCGGTACGAGTTGGTGGCTGGCGGAGCCACCACGAGACTCCATCGCGGGCTAGTTGTTCATGGATTGTTCGATGCTGTTGTGGGCCGCGGTGGTTACGCACTGTATTCTGTTGCCAGGGAAGCCTGGGAGGGTGAACCCTGAGAAGAGTGAAGACGTTGTGAAGAAAGTGGACAGTGATATACTCAACGAGGAAAGATTCACGAAGGTGGTCTGACTCCGGCTCGCAGTTGTAGCTGCAATCCGAGACCCATTTGTCGTCGGAAGGAGCGATTGAGCTTGCTTCTAGGTGATTTGCTCTTGCGTTCTATATCACTCAATGGCCGTTTCGGCATTTGAACCGTTTTGCAAAATCATTTGCGCCCCAACCGACGCCCATCTCTCGGTACTCCCATACGCAAGGCTGCAAGTGAAGTCCAGCCTTCTAAATCGCTCGATCTAGGTGTATTCAGGAGCCAGAACATCAACACCATAAGCAATGAAGCTGATAAAGAATCTTGGCCTTCTGAATCTGAAGTGAACCAATCTGTGCAAACATGACCGTTGATTTTGCTCCGCATTGGGTACCGCAGCACCAGTCTCAGTGAAGCATAACACCGTGGCGTGTCACTTTTCCAGCCCACTTCAAGGGTTGACTTTGCATCGCACGCCAACTTTTTGCGTCGACCAGCGACTGCGACAACACTGCTCCTCTTAACTAAAGGCCGCTTTGAAGCGCTCCTCCGCAGCACAAGAAATAAACCACCCCCAGCAACATGAGCGCTACGGTTGGCGACTCGGGCAAAGCCATTGCCTTGCAGCAGGTATGCAGTTCACCCTAGACTGACTGTGGCCCTACTCAACCTGTCACTAACGCTGACCTCCCATCAAGATGCAAAACACACTTGGCCCGACAAGCCTCTTCCGTCTGCCACCCGAGCTGCGCCTCATGATCTGGAAGTTCCTGTTGCCCGGCCGCAGAGTCTTCAAGGCGAGAAGCTCCGGTGCCCACATGGATCCGCGTCGCAGCGACGACCGCCGCTTCGTCTTCGGTTTCGACTCCAAAGTCTCGCAGCCCATCCTCTCCCAGATCTGTGCAGAGTCTCGACAGTGCCTGCTGGATTATGGACATGGACAGTTCATCTTTGGTCTGGAAGGCGAGGCAGGGCTCTGGTGGGGTCCTGAGGACGTGCTGCTCTTCGACCAGGACTGGTGCCTTGGATGGTCCACACCCTCTCTTGAGGGGCTGAAGGCCCTCGACCGCGTCAAGAACATCGCGCTCGACTCCGTCCAAGCTCTTTACATCTACTACGAATACGCACTTCCCGAGGCCGACGAGACCTACCAAGATGGAAGTGAAGACAGCGACCAAGAAAGCTACCACGAGGATGAAGATGGGCAGGCCACAGATAGCGATACCGAACCTACCGCTGCTGAGCCTTTTCTACCGCAGCGCATTACGCTCGGGTGCTGGAGCTGCAGCGAAAAGCCTCACTTCCTCGAGTACTTTACGGCCCTGAACGAGCTGACGATCGTCTTTGAGCGAACCATGAGGCCATTCTGCGGCGACAGCAGACTTTACCACCTGGTATCCGCAGTGGGAGACTGGCCAATCTCCCAGTTTCTTGACAGCGTTTGTCCCTATGATCGTGTCACGTTTGTTCGAGACAGCACCAGCATGGATGAGGCCGTTCAAAAGATGTCGAAGTTCAGAAGGCTCTGGATGCAGACCGCGGACACACACCGCTGGTCGCACTGCGAATACGGTCGCACATTTAATACCGCGCATGTTTTGTACGACTTCTGCATCGACAGGTCACGCACCGAGTCTCCCGACGCGCCTTATATTGTCACATCTTTCAACATGATGGACAATGAACATTGGGCCATTTGAGAAAAGACGGGCCTTGCAAGGACAGACGTTTGGTGGCTTCAAGGGGCTGTGGGAGCTCTTGAGGGATTTGAAAGCCATTGAGATTCCATTGCTGGAGAAGGCTTTCAAGGACCGTCGAAAGACAGAAACTTGACATGGGACTTCCCACCTCGCAATTTCAGGGGAACGGGATATCGAAATGCCGACAGTTGTTACCGAATGAAACTGGAGAGTACAGTGTGATCTTCTGGATAAGTGTGGGAGCTATTCGATAACTGCAGCTGGAAATCGATCTCAGCAATCACATGCAGTAACATCATCAATCACACGGAGGGGAAAAGGAAGAACAAAAATGGGGGGCGAGACAGATACAGACAGAGAAAGAGCCGTACGCTGAGAGACGAAAATGATAGACTGTGTACCAACTTGTCGCCGCCAATAATGACGTGATATTCGTACAAGTTTACACTAACATCTCAAATTTTTGAATGATGTACAGAGTCTGAGCCTTAATACACACGGACATGACAGATTCTTTATCTGGAGATCCGCACACGTATCATGTCCTGGGTCAGACTCGCTCCCGCTTGCGAGAATCAAGATGAATATACATTGTGCTGACGCTTGTCAACCGGGTGACCGTCTTTGAGGTCACCATTGTTGGGGCGGGAATGTCGGGTCTGTTTCCGGGCTACGAGCTCAAGAAAGCCGGGTTCGAATTGGCCATCCTCGAAGCCTCTTGGTGGCTGCCAGGAAAGAAAGCAACGAGCAGAAATCAAGCCTGAACAATACATTGGCATCACACAAACTGACTGGTTTCAGCTTCTTTGATTGACAACATCATGTTTGATACGCGAGTTCGGGAAGTCGGCATTGCGGAGTAGAACAAGCCGGGAATTCCGGGAAAGTACAAGATATCTGCAACCAGCTGCAGCAAGACCCTCACCTCGGACTACCTCATTATCGCTATCCCGTATACGTCACAGCGGTTGATCACCAAGAGCCATGTCTTTGTCCCCAAGCCGGAAATGGCCGTCCGCGATGTTCGCTACGTCGAGGTGACCAAGATCCTCCTGCAGTACAGGACGAGGTGGTGGGAGAAGGTCCTCAGCTGCGCCGGGCTGGGCTATGATGGCGGGCTTGTAAGTGATTTGCCCATCCGCTGCTCCATGTTCCCCAAGACGGACGGCAACGAGTAGTTCGCCCACTCCCACTGCAGCGTCATCATGGCAGCCTACACCTTTGAGCGGGGCTTGGCCATCCTCGGGGGCGCGGTCCGCGAAGCGCCGGAGCGCCGGAGCCAGCTGGTGTCGGATCGCTGGACCTCCAGGAGGCCGGGGCTTTGCAGGTATTCCCGGCGGACGATTACGTCTTCTTTTCTGACGAGCAGGCCAGCTTCACCCATGAGTGGATCCAGGGCGCCTTCGAGACTGGGCTGAGGTGCGTTCAGCAGATCTGGAATGCGCCAAGGTTCAGTGAGAGAACATGGAGAAGGCATCGTTGTGTATCTTTGTTGAAGAGACTACACATTCCCTAGTCCATATTCCCTCTGTCATGAGTCATTCTTTCAAAAAGTCATGATATTCTATAACCACCCGAATCGGAAGTACCTCCGCAGTATCTTCAGCAACCTGTGAGGCTCGCCCGGGTAAATGTCCAGGCTGTTCGGTGAGTGCTCTTGTTCGCTGCCATATGCCCTGGCCAAGCGGATAGCTCATAAATGCGGGAGGCATCTAGACAGGATGGGTGATCTGTCCTTGGTACGCGTATCATCCGTTGCAATCCGAATGTTGGTTGGACTCGCAGCCTAAGTGACAAAGATACGGAGATCAGAGGTGACATGAATGGTGACTTGGCAGCCGACCAGTTTGACGACCTGACATGAAGCACAATTTTCTGGTCAAATTTTCAGCATGCGACAGGCTGGATTGTAGATGTCCTCGATTGGCTGAGACGATGAGGTCAAGAGGTCAGTTCGGACCACTTTCAAGCTACCTAGGTACCTGCATCGGTAGACGAGGGGCCCCTGCCCAAAATGCGGGCCGTAAAGGCTTGTCCGTGTGCAGGACCACGAGTACCGAAGTACCGAAGTAGCCAAGCAGCCCTGTTCCCCAACACATCCATCTGGCCTGTGAATCACTTCCTCTTCAAGCGCAGCAGACCCACTCGACGTTGGGTCGTCCCTGTTTCGAATAGAACTGTGCCGTACGGTTGATCACCACCAGGCTATTTCATCTATGGCCATCTCCTATTGTTCACTACCTTCTTTTTTTGTCGACGGCGCGGATGGGCGTGACACAGGAGAGCAGTCCACGAAACTGCACGTCGTGCGACCCGGCTCACAGCAAGCACCAGTCCCTCGGTCCACACAGTTCCACCGCATCGCATCTACAAGACTACCTGACATCTAGTTAGTAGTGTATAACAGCCGCGGCTTCAGCTACCCGCCGACCCACGAACCCACCACAGCGCGCGCTGGGCATGCGCCTCCTCTCCCCGCGCGTGGCCGCGGGTCGGCTGTCGAAGCATCCCGTCTTCATCGCCCTGGCCTTGGTGGCGCTGATCATCTTCCGGACATTTCTCCCCTCTTCTGGCTCCGGCCCTCCCTCGAGATACTTCTCCGCCCTCCACAGCATCAGATTCGTACCGTCCGCCTTCAATTGGACCTCAGCCGAACTCTTCTTCCCGCCCAAGACTCCTCTCGCCCCATTGCCTACGGGCACTCCCAAGACGTTCCCCCACGTACAATACAATTTCGGCTCAAAAGGCAGTGCTGAGAAGAACAAGGTTGCCGAGGGGCGCAGAAAAGCCGTCAAGGATGCCTTTGTCCGCTCCTGGTCCGCGTACGCGAAGCAGGCATGGCTTTGGGACGAGCTGGAGCCCGTGTCAGGCGGCGGCAAGAACACATTTGGCGGCTGGGGAGCTACTCTCGTCGACAGCCTTGACACCCTCTGGATAATGGGTCTCTTCGATGAGTTCCACGACGCTGCAAAAGCTGCCGCCCAGCTCGACTGGTCCAATACCACCGACAAAAGCGCAAACCTGTTTGAGACTACAATTCGCCATCTGGGGGGCCTACTAAGCGCCTACGACCTGAGCGGGACACCCGCGCTGCTGGAAAAGGCGAAAGAGCTTGGTGACATGCTCTACATGGGCTTCGATACTCCCAACCGTCTGCCAGGCTTCTGGCTCAACTATGAGGACGCCCGCAATGGCCGCCAGGTTGCTGGGACACATGATCCAAGCGCCTCTCCGTCGTCTCTGGCACTCGAATTTACAAGGCTAGCCCAACTGACCGGAGACCATAAATACTACGATGCTGTCGACCGTGTGCGCGCATTTCTCGTTCGCACCCAGGACGAGTCCCAGCTCCCTGGTATGTGGCCTACAGCGCTCAACTTCCAGCACGAAGAAGTTATGTCCGACAACAGCTTCACCCTCGGCGCCCTGGCTGACAGCCTGTATGAGTACCTTCCTAAGATGTTCATTCTCACCGGAGGGCTGGAGCCTTCCTATGAGCAGATGTATCGCAAGTCCATGGATGTGGTCGTAAAGCACATCTTATTTAGGCCGATGCTCCCAGACCAGGATGACATACTGTTTGCAGGGAACGCGCATGTGAGGTCAGACGGCGTCACACTGGACCCCGAGGGCCAGCACCTAGCTTGTTTTGTCGGTGGTATGTTCCTGCTCGGAGGCAGGACATTCGGCATCGAACCTCACATCCGCATTGGCGAGCGCGTTACGCGTGGGTGTACTTGGGGCTACGACGCATTTCCGACGGGTCTCCTACCGGAACTGTTTGGCCTCCTCCCGTGCCCGTCGCTGGCTCCCTGCGATTGGGATGAAGAGCAATGGTCCAAACAAGGCAACAAAAATCTCAAAAAGGGTTTCAAGCACGCACGGGATCCTCGCTACATTTTGCGGCCGGAGGCGATCGAAAGTGTTTTCATACTGTACCGGGTCACCGGGCAGGAGGAGATCAGGGACATCGCGTGGACTATGTTCCAAAGCATCATGCGCGCCACCGAGACTCCTTTAGCAAACTCTGCAATCAGGGATGTAACTGTCTCAGGGCCAACGGACAAACTGAACTCGATGGAGGTATGTGCTTCTTTTTACTTGACATCTCTGACTTGGTCCCTAACATACGCTTGCAGAGCTTCTGGACGGCCGAGACCTTGAAATACTTTTACCTCATCTTCTCTCCGCCAGACGTCATCAGTCTAGACGAGTACGTCTTCAACACCGAGGCTCACCCCCTCAGACGGCCTCGGTCGAGGCCTTGAACGATAGCAACCGGAAGCACAGGGGCCGATAATTATAGTAAATGCTATAAAAACAACATATCAGGCCATGTGCGGTGGGCCCATCTAAAAATTTGAGTATACCAACCCGTCCCATACTCCAGCTAATGCCCTCCCCACCTGCACATCCGGGCCCGGGGCCCAGGGCATCCTCCGGGAGATGGACCACTTCCATCAAGTGACGGACAGGCCTAACCCAGCTTCAAAGGTTTGGGCGAAAAGGCGATCCTTGTCTACCACACGCAGACCTAGTGATTCGTGTGGCTGAGATGATAGGCACAGCAGGTCGTCGGCTTGTCGAGCGAGGTCGTCTGCACTGGTCGTCACTGGTGTGATTGCAGGACAGACAGCGCAGACAGTGCCGTCTCGACATCAAGCATAATTACATCAGCATCAGCAGGCTGGCTCAGGACTTTCCGCTGGGCAGCATTCGGGATCTGTGATTCAGATCCTGCCATTTGCTCCTTTGGTGTCTCATTGAACCTGTTGCCGAGGCAGGCTGGCTTTTCGAGTACTTTGCCAGGGACCTCGTCCTCGAACCGCACCTTCTTCTTAAGTGACCCGAGAATTGGGCGCGAGGATTTGCTGTTTTGGAGAATCCCAGACGATCTCGTGGTGATTTTGAGAGGAGCAATGCTAGATCTTTCAACATCCGCACTCTTCCTGCGCTGCTTTGCCTCGGCCGTTCCATCCTGTGAAGACTTCACTGCATCCATGTTCAAGTTGCCTCGCTCCTGGTATCTGGAGGGGTCTTTCGAGGTGCTGTGTTGACAAACCCTGCTCCCTGTCCCCGAGGACTGTTCGAACTCAGCGTGTTTGTCTGCATCATCTTCCCTCCCCGCCATGCCACATGTCCTCTCGTGGGCCCTAGTGTCCTTGTCTGCTTGCCTCACAGCCTTCGCCCTCGGTCGCTTATGTAGTGGTTCCTCCGCATCTGCCTCCTCGTCGTGATCGTTCAAGTGTCTCTTCTGGCCAGGTCTCGACTGCAGCTCCGTGAAGAAGGTCGGGTTTCTGGCCTGTCGCGCTGCCTTCGGGCAGGCTTCCGGCACTGAGGTCTTGAAATATCTGGCATCGGCGGCTTTAAGTCCAGGATACATGTTGGACTCCTCCGGGGGTGTGGTCTGCTGTGACAGGTTTTGTGCACAGGCTTGTGCGGGAGAGTTCGTCGCAGGCCGGTCTGTTGGGCCGTTCCTTCCCTTGTAGTTACGCACATGCATGGTGTCTTGTCGTTGATATGTGTTTTCGATCATGATCTGAGTGGTGAATCTGGAGGTATGGGGATTTGATACAATGAATATGGTGTGTTCTACAGAAGACATCGGGCTAGAGATTTGTGCGGTTGGCCCGACATGAATTGTGTCCCTGGGTGCCCAAAAGGCAGAGTACCGGCGTATTTGAAGCTAGGAAGGCGCGATTGGAGCAGGGTCATTAGATCAGAAGCTCGATCGCGTGTGAAGATGGTGCCATCGATGCAAAAGTCAGAGTTCCAATGTTTCTGCCAATTTGCGAGGCACTTGGTTACCGTAATTTCCTGAGTCGGTTCCCGTCACTGGTCTGCACGATTAGCGATGTTCAATTGTCAATTTTCAGGGCTTTCGTTCATGAATTTGGGACCGTCTCAGTGTTTCTCGAAGCCTAGAGGCCTTCCTGCAGCCATGTTGAGAAAAATAATGGCAAACTCTTTCCAGTATCCTGGGAGGCCAGCCTCCCACATTCCAAGGTTCCTAGCAACTTTCAACGCTACCGCGCGAGCGCCGGTCTCTCAAAATTTCCCCATCCTGCCGGAACCACCGCACACGTCAGCAAGGAACAATCACTGTACTGGATTCTGTTGTTTTCTGTGAATATTACTACTGGATTACAACTCCACGTACCATGAACTCCTGGTCTGCTCGATGGCATCTGTAGCAGAACCACAGCAGGAAGGCCGAGAGAAGGATAGGCAGCAGTATGGCAACGGTCATCCAGATCGGCTCAATACCGTTGCTCTCCGACGTGGTGTCTCTTTTTGACAGTATCAGCGGCATGTTGGCGAGTCTCGCACACGATAGAATGCGTTTCGTTTCTTAGCGGGTCCGAATAGCGAGAACTTGAGCTGTGAGTATCAGTGATTAATGATGGTCGTCAAGAGGAAAGGGCTAGCTGATGTCGAATTGTGTAGATTGTGAGCGCCAGGAACACATGTGCCACAGCCAGCAAATAAAGCCGTCGGGTGATGATGTTGAAAGGCCAGACTGCCGCGACGTCATGGTATGGAATCATGTCTAACAGGCCATTGGATCCAACAACAGATCGGTTGTGTCTCATTGACCGAGTTTTGGCTTGTTTGAGAGACTTGTTGAAACTGCATGGCTTGTATGTTTCCCGTGTCAAACAGTCTGACCCCTGAGCAAACAGCAAGATGCGAATGCCAAACACGTCTGGGCACACACCACACCATGGCAATACGTGTGATTAGGAAGTATACAAAGCCAGGGCGTGATGCGGCGCTGATGTTTGCACATGAAGTGTTCAGAATCACCAAAAGTCACGAATCACTTCGAGACTGAGTGATGGGGGACTTCGAAAGATGAGGACACCACAGTGAGACTGCCTAAGCTACTAAGGTATGGATTCGGCTGGTGATTATCGGGCCTGCGTTACTTGAGTACGGATGTTGTCGACTTGGAAACGCCTCACCAGTCCCATGTGATTGTCCCACACGAATGACCACAAGAGCTTGAATTTGACATATTGGTGGGTCATTGATGATGAATCGTGAGTCCCAAAGGTCGGATTAGTCCACCTATGTAGCAGGCGAGATACTACGCGAATATCAAAAGCTTCAAGTTGTATGGATGCTTGCGAGTTTAGTTTATATATGCTGAATTAATTTTTGATCGTACCCATGTAGAGTAGGGAGATGTAAATAATACATGGATGGTAAGTGATAGGCACCGAATACATGGTCTGCATAGGGATGCCCGGTTCCTATTGACCTCATAATGTCGTCGACGGCAATAAACAGCTCACAGTCCACTGTCCGCAGCTCAATAAGCAATTGACATTTTTGACTTATTTTTACTGCAATCCAGGATAATCTGGAAGCTTCCAATCTCCGGCAAAATTGTCTGATGAGAAGCGCTCGACGAGCTTGTCGATGCGGAGGGTGCTGAGGATCTTCACGACAAGGTGGAGAAACCATACGCCCCATTCGGTCTCAGGATATGCGATAGATGGAACACCCCTCGCCAGCTCCTGCGCCTTGTCGACACATGGGCGAAGAATCTTTTCGTAGGATTCAATGGCTTCATCGACTGCCTGTCCAGGGTCTTTGCTGTTTTCGAGGTGTCTGGTGAGCTCGCCACCGAGGACATAGGCGCCGATGAGACCAAGTGAAGTGCCTTTCCCGGTCAGGGGAGAAGGTGTGTAGCCGGCATCACCGACCAGGACAACACGACCCCGAGACCACTTGTCCAGCTTGACCTGGCCGATCTTCTGGAAGTAGAAATCATCCGCCTCCGGGGAGTTGAGCATGCTGTCTACCAGCCTCGGGGTTTCCCAGCCGCCGTCCTTGTACATGTCAGCCCATAACTGCTTCTGCTTCTTCACGTCGCCGCTCCGCAGTGCGTCCTCCATCGCGTGGCCACCCTTTTCGTAATAGCCGAGGTAGACCTGCATGGTCTTCGGGTTGTCGACTCTGGTGGCTATGGCACGACGGCCGGGCAAGTGGAAGATCTTCGCTGTCATTGTATCCTGTTTTCCCTTCGGCACGGTGAAGTAGGCGAGGTAGAGCTGCAGGAAGTTGAATGGGTCCTTCGCATCAGGGCCCCATGCTTTCCTCCTCGTCCTGGAACTCTGGCCGTCTGCACCAACCACCAAGTCGAAGTCGTCCTCCTTGCCGTCCGAGAATCTGACGCGCACCCCATTGCCGGTCTGTTCAAGGTCTTCCACCGAGTTCCCAAAGACGTACTTGCAGTTGTCCTTGGTCAGGTCGTATAGGATGCGCACCAGATCACCTCGCATGATCTCGAACTCTGATGTGAGGCTCTGCCTGCCCTGGCCGGTCTTGTTGGCTCCAAAGTATGCCTGTCTCCGGCCATTCTTGTCGACGAACTCTGTGCCTTCCTCCTGGACGACCTTGGCCCTGACAGCGGCCTCGATGCCCATTTTGCGCATGACGGCCACGCCCTCACCCCGGAGGTCTATCTGTTGACCCGAAGCACGCAGGTCCGGCGCTCGCTCCACGATGGTGATATCGCAGTTCGCCTTCGAGAGCCAATGGGCTAGAGCAGGGCCAGTAATGCCCCCTCCGACGATGAGGACTTTTAGCTGCGCCATGATGAATGAGAGCTGTAGAGGATGGTCTGGGGCTTTCTTAATTTAGAGCCTAATTATCTTCTGTGAATGAAGCATCACGATCACTCCCTGCTCCCAAGCTGCACCACGGGGCAGTTCCCCGATATTTATGAGCTTCAGAACACATCACAGCATGTGCTTTCGGCCGATCGGCCACGCCGCTTACTAGTTAGCCCAGGGTGCTGGGTCGGACATCGGAGGAGTATGGCACCGCTGCGGCGCTGCCAATGCCGAGGCCGAGAAGCAACTCTATCTGATTTCTTGGAAAACCCAAGCCCCAATTATACGTCACCATTCTGCACCCAGCAAGCTAGGCTGATCGGGTACTTAAGGCACGCCAATGTGTCAGTGGCCTGGCGCTGTCGCTAGTCCATGACGCGATCGCATATGAGCAGCAAAATTGTGAGGACTGCCCGTGAGGTTGCCGGCGTCCGGGCTCTCCGAAGGCCGGGCCCGAACACTGGATCGGACATGATTTCATCTAAAATTATCAGACAGTCTTGACAATGTGTTGTTACGATCAACATAGGACTGCGAGTCTGCACGTAGGAGAATTTAAAACGCTCCCATGTTTGAATGATTACCTGTGTAGTTTTCAGCTTCGCAACTTCTGCTTTCAGTCTTTCGTACAGATGCATATGTTGAACCATGAAGGTAACGCAACATGCACGATGCCTTTTCAAATGCTCTATAGATACGTATTCCATGGCGGTGCCGTAGAAGAACAACTCAGTTCTGTTTACTTGCTCGACCCGTCTTCCTTGAAACCCAAGGCTGCTAGCAAGTCTTTGAAGGGCTTGTTCACTCTGGCCGTCCTCTTGTCCATCAAGTCCACCGTCTCTAGCATCGCCGTATAAAGGACCGAGAGGACTTCAGGATTTCTACAATGTACAAATGGCCCCAGTCTGCTCCACGATAGAAAGTATCAGTTCCTTGTGGCCTAGACGGACCGCTGGTGCCAGCGGCGCCACGATCCAGCAGCATGCGGCTGAGAAGCACTCATGCCTGGGCATCACACACTGGCTCGGACCTGTAGATGACTGTGCCTGCACGTAGATCCGGGGCACTCTTTTTCTGCAACAGCATGGAATGGAAGTGTTTAAGTCTATAATCATGGCAAGTCGTTCTGAACAGATGCTAACATCAATATAATGCGTCTCTCTGGAGTTTCAACTTAGTGCTCCCAAAGATTTAGCGTAGACCACATTTTCTTTTCCCCTTTCCCTTTTGAGTTCAAGTCAAAAGTTTTGGTATCGAATTCAAGCATTTTACATTTAATTATGTGGTCTACAACAGCATCTGAGAGGAAAGCAGCCTCTGCCTGTTCTGGGTACAATTGCGACCCGATTACTGTTACAGTCCATTTACCTGGTCATGGAGGAGGATCGAGCCCGACAGTTACCATGTCGCTTGGAAATGTGCTCGGGCGATTTTCACAAGAGGCAGCTACAGACCAAAATGTTAGAACACCTTTCCAGAACTTGATGAGATTGCAGAAAGCAAATCTTTGTTTTCAGTAAAGCGTTATACATGCAGTGTAATCATGCATCTGTTGATAGCCAGCTCAGCACAATGACTGGAAGAGAAGATGATGTGACGAATGAAAGATGGTTTGCGTGGCGTATGGGCCCTGTGACTCCCACAACCACCTATATCTACTGATAGATCTCAACGACCACCCTATAGCTCTGAACCCTGCCGCAGTACAAGTACCGCAGCTACTTAGGCACTACGCGGCCACGGCCTCGCGTCAGATCCACCGCTAGCCTAGATTGCGCCCCGTCAAGGCTCCTCCTTGGAGAATTCTTCGATGGCGTAGTCAAACGCAGCGCTGATTTTCCTTCCCAGCTTCCTCCCGATTCCCTTTCCGACGCGCAACTTATCCACGATAGCTGCGATGAGCTTCTCCGCCCCCTCCTTGGTCTCCTCGAGCTTGGACATCATCGTTGAGGTAAGCCCTGCGTGGTCGAACAGCGGCTTCGAGCGGGCGATGGTGCCCAGCGAGGACTTGATATGCTTCAGAAGCTCCTTAGTTGCCCTTTTGACCTTTATAGCTTGCCGCGTAGTCATTTTCTTGGGCAGGTCTCTGGCCGTATCGGTGCCATCGTCGATGGCCTTGAGGAGGGAATCGGATGCGGTCAAGATGGCAATCGCGTCAAGGATGTCGCCATTCCACTTCTCAACAACTAAAGCCATTTCCACTGTCTGACTCTGGACTTCCTTGAGGTGGTCGATGACAGCAGGTGTGGACTCGACAGTCTCCACAAGATCGGCATGAGCAGCGCTCACACCGATGAGCAGGCTGAGGAGGGTAAGACAAAAGTTTGATATGAGCATGATGGCCGAACTGGGTAAAAATGGACGAGTATCGGTGAAAATAGTCTTGAAGATGAGTGATAGAAAGAATCTCGCACAATAAGAATTTGACTGGGTGGCCCGACCTTTATGGGATGCTCGAGTCCTAGGCGTGCGGACCGCTCGCAAATGACCATGCCTTAAGGATCATAAGTCGACATGATGCAGACTGGCCGCGCGGGCCCATACTAACATAAACCAGTTGGACGACATGGCTTTTGGCTCCTTGCTAGTGAGAGAAACCCCCGTTGCCAGTAGGTGTTAGCCGAGCAAGCCCGTTTACAAGGCGCGCACGGAATACGTTCGCTTTCTCTGGCTCCAAGTCGCAACGCTGACACCAAAAACCAGTCAGATTGATTGGACTGCAGTGTATTGACGGAAGACTACGTTCTCTAGAATTTGCTCCCCTCAGCATCCGATTCAAAAGCTGCGCCTTGGGCAGTTCTGCTGCAAAGCGGCGCTTAGGTGGCAAATGATCCAAGGACAAGGCAGACAGCATGGAGAATTTGTACGGAGAGAATGCTCCTTTTCAGAGTCACGCGCTCGGCCATGGCTCGGATCAGAGACCACAACAACCTGTACTGCACTGCGTCGATCACGATAGATTGATACATGGGGTGAGAGCATTGTTTATGCGGGAGAGGAACTCAGCATTGAATTCCAAGGTTCGTTTGGACATGATGCTGGAGCTTGGTAGCGGTTTTCCGATCTAGGCGTTTACAGTCTAGGCTATGATGTTTCCCCTAGGCACAATACCAATGTCACACTCATCCATTCGTAACAAAGCCACATGTGCAGAGCATGGCAAACAATGGTAGCTGGTCCATGTCCCGCACGGGCAGGAGCCTAGAAGCCAATCCAATTTGGGCCGTTTCAGTAACCTAGGTAGTTATAGTGTGCTGATCTGGTGGGAGCACGTCGTGGCTTGCATTGGAACGAAGATGGAAAGATCGAACAATCACGATAGGGGCATGCGGCGGCAAGTGCCAAGAAGCTGTCAGTCAAGCTGTCAAGGGGAGCTACCTGGGTAGCGGTCGATCCACTCACTGGTGACATGCAAGCACCTGCCTGCCAGCCCTCGGCCTGTGGGCCGGAGAAGAGGAAGGAGGAAGGAAGGAAGGTAGAAGAAGAAGCAGCACAGATCGGCAGGGAAGGAGGCAGGAGGCAAGGACAGGCTCCAAGGTTGACCCCACCTCGCCCAGAGATAAGCTCCCTGGCCGCTAAGCCGGAAGCGGTTATGGTCATTCGACGACGGGCAACCAACGACAGCTCTCTGCTTTCCTTTTGATGATCGCGCCTTGCTCCATGCCACGTTATCGTCGAGCCATGCAGAGGGCCCTTGCTCTACGACACAGTAGGCCAATACGTGCCCATGGCTAGGTCAACGTCCCAGACCGGGCCAAACCGTTCCTGCATCCCCGTTGATGCCACCTCAGGTGCATTGTGCCCGCCCCCCCGGGAACCAACAGGCTGGTTCTGCTGTTCACCACCAACGGGGAGGCGTGGGCCAGAGTCTTGCTCTTCCTGGAGACCAATGTCTTTGTGTACAGTCATAGTCTATCAGCTTGTCAACGGCTCAATCAAATGCCCAGCGCCGCGTCCGGTGTGGCGCAATCCTTGAACCTTCAAGGTGTCTCTGAACCCGTGTACGCTCCTTGTGGTTGGTCAGTCGGCCGCAAGATAACGAAGGATTCCCGGGACGACCCCCGGCCCTGTGCTGGCGGTCTAATTTCATCGACGACAACAGAAACAGCAACAGCAACAGCAACAGCATCACAAGACGCTGCCCAGGCTGCCTGCTCTCTTGGAGGTCTGCCACTCAACAGTCCGGCTTGGCTAGGGCGAGACCCAGGTAGCATCAAGCCCCCGATCCCATTACCCAATGCCAGATGCTGATTGATGGTCGTTTATAGCTGATCCAGAGACACGCCCGCCTCCTCCGCATTGCTGGGCTGTCAGCTTACGCAAAGTATGCGATGCGACGTGAGGCGATCCCGCCCCATGTTGTACTGCGTACTGGTCCAACCTATCGAAAACTAGTTGGCCGGTACCACCACCGGGATCTCCCAGCAGCAGCTCCTCAGCTCGCTACAGTATTCATCCCCCCCGTGCGACTCGTATAACTCCCTGTCCCACCCCGGCCTCCATGGTCAATTTCCGGCTGTCCTGGCCTGTTGGTACACATGTCTGCAGCAGCTTCCTACCACAGTAGTCCGGCCCGCTCCAAGTACTCACTTCAGCCGCCGGTCCTAGTGCTCTGCATGCTGTTGTTTCGGAAGCATGCAATTAATCTCGACCTGGACTCTCGTGCCGTGTCTGCCTCATCCGGGAGCCAGGACATTATACCGCTTGCAACTGGCCTATGTTGCCCACAAAACATCCGCATGCCCGGCTCACTTGTCTTGTACGTCCTGATAAGCCAGCTGGCCATGGATGAATCGGGCATGTGGGCCGCTTCACCACTCCCACTCTGATCCGACTTGTCGGATCTGCTGCATGCCAGGCCTCACAGGGCCCGCCACATGCAAGTTCGCCATTCACCACCACGCGGCTTGTACGCACCCATGGAGGGACCCGCCGCTTATCTCTCCCCAGCCGTCTGGCCGAGTGCCTGGATGCTCGCTTGTCGAGGTGAGGCTCCACCCTGGGCTGGCTGGCTTGCTTGGAACAGGCCAAGCCTCCATTGGGCGTCTCCTTCTCATTGGACACCTGCTTTCCTGATATCTCTGCCAGGGTCCATCAAGGATCCGTATGGTATGCGCCTGCAAAAGGCAGGCCATCCTCGAAATTGCCTTGCGCAAAGAGTACATCCCCTCGGATGCGCCAAGGCTGCATGCGTCTTTGTGCCAGGGCTAAGCTGAGACCAATATCTCACTTGCTATTTATCTATCTGTACACCCACTCCTGCGGTCTCCCCCAAGGCGTGGTCCCGTCTCCTGCTCCTTTTTTCTTTTCTGTTCGTTTGCTGCTTTTTTTTTTTGGTCAAAGCCTGCAGCGTTTCCTTTTCTATCTGTCATCCCTACATGTGACAGCTAGAAAAGTAGTCACAACCTTACGCAGCACACTCAATCAGTCTCGAGGACGACCATGTCGGCTGGACCTCTGGAAGAATACACCGGCACGGCCGGTGTTGCCGATGAGGGCGGCGACTCGCTGACGGCCGACCTGAATGTTTACTATGCAGTACGTTGTATTCTCGGCTCGCTTCTCCAGGCATCGCCCACAGCCTGAGCATTGAACCTAATGAGCTTTCTTCAAACAGTCAGGCGACTTCGCCTGGATCCTCACATCATCCGCCCTTGTCCTGCTCATGGTGCCTGGCGTGGGCTTCTTCTATAGCGGTCTTGCCCGCCGCAAGTCTGCACTCGCCTTGATATGGCTCTCCTTGATGAGTATAGCGGTCGTGGGATTTCAGTGGTTCTTTTGGGGCTACAGTCTGGCCTTCAGCCACACAGGCAGCGCCTTCATCGGGGACCTGTCCAACTTCGGCCTCATGAAAGTCCTGGGTCAGCCCAGCGTGGGAAGCACCAAGATCCCCGACTTGCTCTTCTGCTTGTACCAGGGCATGTTCGCCGCCATTACGTATGTCGGACCTTGAGGCACCCGAGAAATCTCTCCGCGGCAACCTGAGACTGACAAATTTGATCAACAGCCCCGCCCTCGCCATCGGTGCCGCAGCCGATCGCGGTCGGATGCTGCCTTGTCTCGTATTCATCTTCATCTGGGCAACCATCGTATATGACCCCATAGCTTACTGGACTTGGAACGCCAACGGCTGGTCCTTCAAGCTCGGCGGTCTCGACTTCGCCGGTGGCACGCCTGTGCATATTTCCTCGGGCGCTGCTGCTCTTGCCTATTCCCTGATGCTGGGCAGGCGTACTGGATACAACAAGACCCACGGTCTTCCATACCGCCCGCACAATGTCACCCACGTCGTTCTCGGGACCGTCTTCCTATGGGTCGGCTGGTTCGGTTTCAACGGTGGGAGTGCTCTCGGCGCGAACCTGCGTGCCGTTATGGCCTGTATTGTGACCCATATCGCGGCGTGCGTCGGTGGCTTCACCTGGTGTCTCATGGACTACCGCCTGGAGAGGAAGTGGAGCACTGTTGGCTTCTGCAGTGGTGTCATTGCTGGCCTTGTCGCCATCACACCGGCCTCCGGCTTTGTGCCAGCCTGGGCGGCTGTCATTTACGGGGTTGTTGGCGGTATTTCCTGTAACTTGGCCACCAAGATCAAGTTCTGGGTTGGCATCGACGACGCGCTCGATATCTTCGCCGAGCACGCTGTTGGTGGCATTGTTGGAAACCTCCTGACCGGCCTTTTTGCTGCGTAAGTTCCCATCGTCGACTACCTTGTTCAGCTTGCTACAAGTGACTAACTCCTCACCGTAGCAACTATATTGCTCACCTTGATGGATTCTCCGAGATCGACGGCGGCTGGCTCAACCACAACTACATCCAGCTGGCCTACCAGCTCGCCGACTGCGTCGCTGGGTTCTCGTGGTCTTTCGTCATCACCTGCATCATCCTATTTGTGATGAACCTGATCCCTGGCCTCAGCCTGCGCGCCTCAGTCGAGGAAGAGGAGCTGGGGCTCGACGATGCCCAGCTTGGCGAGTTCGCCTACGACTATGTCGAGCTGAGCCGCACGATGAACGACGTGCTCGGAGGCTCGACCGAAGGGCATGCTTCCAGCCGAGGAAGTCTGAAGAATGCACCAGTCACTCCTCCCGCCGTCAAGACCGAACTCTCTGAGAAGATGGTATAAAAGGCAAGGGAGAACTGAGAGTCAATTGCGGTGGTGCCTCAAAAAAAGGAGGAGAGAAAGAGAGTTTACCAGGGGAGATTTGTCAGTCTAGTTGACAAATACCACGTTCGTGATACCAATTTTGAATCTGTATCTATTCTTGTTATAATCAAAATGTCGTGCCTTGGAAATATTCCGAGATATCTGTGGCTAGCTCTAGCCACTTGTACTCGTTTCAGCACGATGGGTTTTTCGACAAAATTTCGCACGAGGCGTCGAGCTATTCATCTCTCAGACTTCCGAGTAGACTGTTGTACTGGTGTGTGAATTAGTTCCGGCTCCTGCCCGCTACAAAGTCATGGGCATTACTCGCCACCATCGGCTCTGTGCTTCTCCGCGTACGCCATGCGCCAGACGAACGCGCCAGCCAAAGGATCCATAATCACAGCATATTGAGTCTGGCTATTACTCATTGGTCGGTTCTTGACCATCACAAGCAGGTCCTGGGGCGTCATGTCCCTGTCCCTGCCCTCGCCACACTGACAATGGGGGTCACGGTCTTCCAGGTCGTGTTCTCGAGCGTTCCTGCGTCGCTGTGTGGCCATCAAGCCTTCCCGCACTGCCACAATGCCCCGTTTCCGCTCCGCCGAGCCATTGATGGTCCATTCCATTTGCTTCATGCCCTGAGATGAGGCTGGGGACAGAAGTGAGTGCGGCTTGCCCTGGTTCCCGGCTGGTCCTTCCCCAGGGGGGTCTCGGGGCTCTGCATTTTCTGCTACGTCGTTGTTGCAGGTGAGTATGAAATGGCTGGAGCTCGTCCAGCTTGCGGGACGGTGGTCCTTTTCAATGTTGTAGGCGCGTTTGGGAGTGCAGAGGATCAGGTATGCAGCCGTGGAGGGTGCGGCCCGCAGCTTCTGTAGAATGGCTGCCATGTCTCTATGTTCGCGGTGGCTCTGATCGGTCGGTCTCCACAGGAGAGACCTGCAGTCTTCATCTTCCGTTGACATAGTGGGTTCGGTGGTGGATAGTAAATCGTTGAAGAGCAGGCCGCGCAATAGACTCGAGATGCCAGGTCTTAGGCCAAAGATGACCAATGCCTGGTGACACCGATACCTGACCCTCCGGGTGAGGGTACTTGGATCATGCCGAGGCCTTCGGTTGAGGCTCAGGCTCAAACCGGGTCTCACACCCGTCAAGACGCCCGCGTAGCCAAAATATGCCAGGGTCCTCGCAACAACAGGACCCCCTTCAGAGGTGACGAAGTCGAGCTCGATGATGATCCTGCGCAGCTTTGCGCCGCTCCAGTCAAGCGTGCGAAAGTGAAGCATGCGTGAGTTGCTCCCGTCACAGGCGCCGGCGGGAGTGCCCTCGGGACGGCCGCGGGAACTGCCACCCTCGTTGTGTACCGGCATGGTCACACGTGCCCCGCCACTCGTGCATCCCATGATCATATCCACAAAAGACGTTGAACATCACGAGAAGCGCGCGCGGGACACCGGTGGCCCGAGATATCCCCCTGAGCTCGGCGTCCTCTTCGTCCGAGTGCAGTCGTCTCATGAGGAGGCGGATCGGGATCTTCAGGATGGCAGAGATCGCGGGTCCGGTGAGATCGTCCAGTATAGAGTTTAAGAGGTTGGGTAGGTCTAGGTGCTGCTTCATCAGTGAGGCGACGTGGTCGTAGCGGTGCTCCGAGGGCAGAGACAGGTTGATGGTCAGCCTCGGCGGGTTGAAGGGGCGTTTCTGTCTGCCCGTTCCCGTGACTCTGTCTGCTACGGCCCAGACATCAGCAATCTCTTCGCTGTTCCATAAGGTGCCCATCAAGGCAGCTACGGATGCGGTTGGTGCGGCCCGTGATTTCTCCGCTCGAGATATGGGCTCTGGACTCGTTACAAAGAGGTTTCCTGCTGCTGGGGCTTTTCGAATCCGGTCGGTTCTGCGGATATCAATTGGAATTTGATTTCGGAGGTGGATGTGTAAAGCTTCGGTGCCAGTCAACGGGTGTACATATCATTGAGCAGCCGTGGCTGAGGTATCACACGTGTACCAAATTCCGACGTCATCTCTTAAGTGCTCAACATGGTCACACTACCTGCTGGTTACAAGTGGACTGGTCTTGCGGGCTTGACGGCAATAACAATCGTATATGTAGTGGTCTCGCGTCATCTCAAGCGCTTTCCGGGTTGAGTCAAGACGTGATTTACTTGAACATAAGACTCGTCAAATGCCAGCTGGGCTTAGACCGGAGACTTTCGAACTATTCGTATACCATATTTGAACGGTTAACCACCAATCCTATAATCTTCATCACCCTTTGAATATTATTGGAATCTTCCCTACGCAGTGTTTTGCATGCTTACCTTTTTTTTTTTGAGTTTCCTGAGCCTTTTGAAAGCAGCTGATATACTGTATCGCATAGTCTCAGTTGGGGACGACCCTATATTTACATTGTCAGCTTTCCACCCGAGGTATAATCAGATCATACTGAATCTTAAACATGCCAGTGCACTTTCAAGCGACCTTGCAGGCGTTGCACGTCATTCCGTAGATCTACACCCGCATGACTACCATAAAGCGGTCTTCATCTCTGTCAAGTTGAAGCATTGTAGGGAATCTAGTCTGCCGGAGATCAATGAGTCCAGTCGGAATGCAGATTGAGGTCGACAGTCAATTTGGGCTGTGCTCCCCATGTGCTACACACAAATGACCCACAGAGTCGGTTTGTTTGAGACTTCAAATACAATCTTCGATCAGTGACAGTTTGCAGCCCAGGCCGGGCCCAGTCCTGCCCGAAGCAGCGTTTCAGTACGCTGATCTCTCGCACTCCACCGATCTCGACATGCATAGTGATTGAGTGATCGGCATGTAGATCCCTGGCCACATTGCAGTACATGTGGATGAAGGGCCGTTTTTATGTGTTGACTGATCAAATTGTGGCCTGAACTGAGCCTTGCTCGAGCCTTGGTAGGTTCTGCGGCTGCCAATGTTGTCTGCGACTCTCACGGCGGTCCAGTACCTAAATTGAGCCTTGGCCAGCGCAGATCACGGCTGCTCCCGATCCAGGATCCTTGCCTATTTAAAGTGTACCAGCACAAGGTTCTTTCTATTTTATTAATGCCCGACTTAAGTTTTGCGGGAAAGTCTAACCTTGTTGAAGTGATCGACCACAGCAGATATTGGATGGTCTTTGCTGTAAAGTACTGAGCCAGGACCACCATTTCCTAGGGACTGTGGCTTCGCAGCGGGCAGCCCAGATGGCGAGTGGCCATGTCTGACATGAATACCATGCTGAGACACCGCCCTAGTCACCTACTCACACCATCAGCATGGTTTTGTCATCACCAGCGACATGGAATTTTAACGACTTCGCGAGCCAGGGGTGGAGCCTATTGCCATATTCTCTGTGTCACCGATTGGGTGCAATGAATTCGACCATCTCCTCAAATGTAGATAATATTACTATTCCGAGTCATTATGTAAAGCACGCCCGTATGGCCAATACAGTAATGTCCAGAGGCTCACTGATATGTGGTGCCAGGCGCATGCATACAAGTTGAGTGACCACACTTCAATCAGGTCCATACTGTGACAAAGGCCGACTCGACCGCATCCTCTTTCTTGGCACACTAATTGTTGCCCCTGTCACAGGAGCCTCAAAGTGGTAATACTGACAACGCCCTAGAGTCCTCAGTTCTGTGGAATGCGGACATTATCCGGGCCCCAAACAGAGCCAAGACTCGGCGGAAACGCTCCGCCACCGAGGGTCCATTTGTCCGGAACCGACCTTCGGCTGCACCTTTAGAGTGACCTCCTGAGCCGGATGAGCCGGGCTGATTTTGGGAAACTGGACAATGTTGATGACAGGAGCTATGCCGACCGGCCTCAAATTTCACGAGACTGGCACACGGTGCGACAATACAGGAAAGGAAAGTAGCGGCTTTCCGGGAGAAGGTGGTTGCCAACTTCACAATGAGGATAACGTGAGACTACTGCACAAACGCCAACTATGCATGACTGATATTGCAGGTTAAACCGCCACTGTGTTGAATCTCAAAAGACAGGGCTTTATTGGGCCGTACAGGTGGCTGAGTTTCTGTAACAGGAGGACTGCAGTGGCGAAACGGTCCCAGAAAGCTCGAGGGGACGAGAACGCATGTCTGCTTCCAGGGGGCGAGTGTTGGTAGGTCTCTCGTACGTACGATAATCGTATGGGAAGCAATTATATATTGGTATTGTTTTATCTAAGTTCTGAGAGGCTACGTGCCTTAAAGGGGATAACTAAAGTAGCCTTTTAAATATAAGGGTTATACTTGCTAATACTTATAGTTTTTCTTTTTTTTTAATAAGTATATATAATCCTTATTATAATTAATAATTCTTATTATAATTAGCTTAAAATTATAATTTATTATATATTAAGTATATATAACTTTTATTATAAAAAAGCATTATTAAAAAGGCTTAAAATTATAACTTATAAGTTTTAAAATAAATCTTAATAATTTTTATTATTATATTATCTTTTAAACTTATAATTATTATTATTATATTATTTTTTAAATATTATACCTATTATTCTTAATATTTAGCTTTTAAAGTTACTTTTTTATAAAAATTATTAATTTTTATATAATAACCTTAATTTTAAATTTTTTTTTTATAAAAAAAGTTAATATTTATAAAGTTAATATTAAATTCTTTAGCTTATATTTATTTTTATTATATATTTTTATAATATAAATATTATTATCTTTATTTTTACTTTTATTATTAAAATATATTTAATATTACTTTAAATTAATTTTCTTTAATTACTTTTTATTTTCTTAAAACTAAATATTATAAGCAACTTAATTATTTATTATTTCCTTTTTTTACTTTTTATTATTCTTTTTAATTTTTTTAATAATTATCTTTTACTTAAATTATTTAAATAATAGCATATATTTCTTAATAAATCCCTTTATATATAAGCTTTATATATATTTATTAATAATTTAATATAAAAAAGTTTAAAGCTAAATTAATATAATAATTTAATCCTTTAATAGCTAAATCTTTTTTAATTTAATATATATAAAAAATACTTAAAATTAAAACTTTTATTAAGTTATTTATTATAAAAATTACAATAATTTAATATTAAAGATAATAATTACTTTAATAATTTTCATTATTAAAAATATTATATAATTTTATATTAAAAGTTTTAATGCTTTTAATATAAATATATAACTTTTTAATTATATTATTAAAAGATATTTATTTATTTTAATATTAAAAGTTATTAATAATTTAAATAATAATTATTATAATAATATTATTTAAAAAAAGTATTTTAGCTTAAGCTATAATTATAACCTTTAATTTATTAATTTTAATAATTCCTTAAAAGTTTATCTTAATAAGCAGCTTACTTTTTTTAATATTTAATATAAAAGTAAAGTTAAAGGTAATTTTTATAATCTTTATTAAAGTTTTTTTAATTATCTTTATTATTAATAATAATTAAATTCCTATTAATATTAAGTAAATAAGAGTTACTATTATTAATATCTTTATTAATATTTATTAAATAAGCATTATTAACAATAACTTTGCTATAAAAATTAATAAAACTAATAAGCTTATTTTTATCTTTATTAATTAAGATAATTTTAGCTCTTTTTATAACTTTAATAATAATTTTAATCTTTATTTTATTACTTAATAAGATTATAATTATAATATTTATTTTATTAATTAAGATTATAATTATAATGTTTATTTTATTAATTAAGGTTATAATTATAATATTTATTTTATTAATTAGGGTTATAATTATAATATTTATAAAGGAACCTTAATTTTATTTAAGGGTTATAATAAGGCTATCTTTAATATTAATTATATTAATAATAATTATAATAATAATTATATTAAATATATCCTTAATGCAAGTAATAAATATAATATTTGCTAAATAATTTTACTTATTATTATTATCCTTATAAGGTATATTAATAAAAGTATTAAATAACTCTTATAAATTATTATTAATATTTTTTATTATAATAAAAAAAAGATTTTATAAGAATTTAATAATTAAAATAAATATTTATAATGCAAAACTTTATAATTATTATATAGTAATTATTAATTTATTTTTTAATTATAAAAAAAGTTAATAAGTTATAAATAAATTTAATAAAAGTTAGTTTTAATATTATTATTAATAAATAATAATAAAAGGTAATAATAATAATAAGGTTAATTTTAAAATAATAATTATTAATAATATTAATAATTATAAGGTTATTTTTATATATTATAAGGTATTAAAAAGGTTTTAATTAAAACATAAAAAGTTAAAGTTTATATTAAGAGTTTAAGTTTAAGAGGTATAAAGTTTTATAATTAATAATAATAAGATTAAAAGGAAAAGATATTAATAGCAAGTTGCTTCTTCCTTAATAAAAAGGGGCTACTTTAAATTTCTTAATTAACCTATTTATTTATATATAAAGCTTATTATTATTAATAAGCTTTTATAATATAGTATTTAAAGTTAATTTTATTATTATATTAATAAGGTTATCTTTTTTATTTATTTATCTTACTTTAATAATCTTTCTTATTTTATATAACTTTTATAATAATATAATATTAATTATAAGACATTTTTTCTTTATTATTCTTAGCTTTATAAGGTATTTATATAAGCTATATAAGTTTATATAAATAATTAAAGGTATATTTAATAATAAAAGTTATTTTATAGCTATTTTAATTATTATAGCTAAGGAAATTTTAATATTTACTTTATTTATTATATTATAAAT